CATACCGCGAACGATCGATATTTTCTCCACAGATTGTTCGACTCGGAGGGGTCGAAATCTACGAATGGCAGATAATAGCTAGACCACGGAGCATGATATCGATGTGTTATTATGCATGGTAAAGCGTTCGATTATCCACTCCTTGACAGGCCTACTTTCATGCGAGCAAATTCTCCCGGTTTGTCCCTCAACAAACATTCAAACTACCGAAGCTTTCAAAAAAGAAAATTGACTGAACCAAGGGTAAAATTAATGGAACCTTCAGTTATTCTACTGGATTCGGTACTGGCTACATGCTCAAGTACTCTTCTAAGCCTATAAATGATAGGCTAGGTCACCCAAGGGTGCAGTCTTCGGCATGTTTCTTCAGCATCCTCGGTTATTTGGTTGAGCATGATTAATAGATATTGCAGTGAGTCTTTGTTCTTTGGCTGATGTGTTGGCAAACTTAGGCCTCGCCTGCATGTTTTGCCACCATCAAGCCTTTTAATTTCACCATAGTGTCTGATGGGAAATGCATTGTGAGTTGTGGGGAGAATTGATTCGCTGTGAGTAGAAAATTTGGAATCTTGGCTGCAGCGAAGAGATTGGTGCAGGGGGGTAAATCAATGCCTGGCGAATTCGCATAGAGTGAAGTGTGTTGTTCTTACAGCTTCACTGCTCGTCATGCATGCTGACTTGAAAGACCGACTTGTAGAGCTCGAAAAGAAACATACGACAAAATTCCAAGGCCGTAACTTATCTATAAAAGCTGTTCAACATCCAGCGAAAACTAATCATCTCCCACTCATCAATCAATTCATCAGCACCTTCAAAAACCAACTTCTTCATTCCACCCTACAACCTTTCAACCAACCGACAACATGTCTTCCACGTAAGGATTCATTCAATACCTTATAGTAGAAGTGCATTCTAATAATTTTTCATAGCGAGCAGTTCACTGTCCCTCTCCCCACCGCCACTGGCCTCTCTCAGCCTGCTGGTACGTCCAATCCCGAGTTATCTTTCCACATTGACCACTCAGTAACATGATTCTAGGTCAACTAATCAAGGGTGCTGCCCACGATGATGGCAAGCTCCGCGATGCCGCCCTTCTTCTGGGTATCAAGCTCGACCTTGAGGCTGAGGTGCACCTGACCGCTCGTGTCAAGGGTGATGTTGTCGTTGGCCTGTACTAGACGTCGCATCTCTTGGGACGAGTAATAACTAAGATACAAAAGGATCATTGGAGGGTGGCGGATAGAGAAGTTGATCTTTGATCGATCTAAAAAAATTCAAAAACCTATTCATATGTTCTCGTTTCACTTGAGTGTTTGCTGCTGAGATGAGAAATTTCTTGATTTTCTCACTCAGTTTCTGCCCGTTTTCAGTTTTGAAACTTGGTAAAGGACAAAGTGAACTTCTCATTACAGTGCTTTTCACGAACCCTTAATTCCTTGTATTTGGTCCTGCTGATTCACATATGCCGATATCAGCAAAACCTGGAAGGCTGCCATCTCTATAATGAAGGTATTGGTGCTCACTTAGGGCGGTGATTGACCACTCAGTCAAGAGCAGCCCTCCACTCAGAGCTATAGTGAATTGCGGCTGGGAAGGGCGTTCAAGTAGGCTTCCAAGAAGCTTCCAAGCTTCGTAAGACCACGGCAGTCCTGAAACAATGGATGTAATCAACTCAGGGTCTTGTGTGGATAAACTGTTGGCCTTAATATGTTTGAACAGGGTATATAATCTCACCTAAAACGGGATGACGCCACTTCGGAGTGAGAAGATCATTCCCTAGAGGGAAATGTGGTAGGATATCACCAGCTCGGCTGAACTGAAGCGGAGAGTCGGACGAAGTGAGAATACTGTGTGAAAGCGGCTCCATGATGTAATAAATATGCATGTCGTTATTTTCCTCAGGAGCTCTCCTTTTGAATTCGTCCGAGGACCCGGAGGCAATAACAACATCCTGGATGGAACCATAATTGGGATTGGTCCGAGGATAGATTGACGATCTTCGCTTCAGTTCTCATGTGTTTGGTTTAAACCATTTTCAAACAATATACACATTGAGTTTCTACATTTCATTCTATAAAGAGCCAACCGACCTTCTTTACTCCGAAGACTTGTTGATGACTGGGAAAGACGTCTGGCTTTTCTTCTTCTTTAAAGTTGGAAACGAAAATTACAACATCATGATGCCTACTTGGTCTAGAAGCCTATCAGCCATTGTGATATTCGCATTTTTGTCTCTCCTCCCTACTGCGGGCGCCAAGAGAGCGCTGGAAAATCTAGGAAGAGGCGTGGTAGCGGTCCGTTCTTCCGAACAAGAGGTCTTTATCTCATGGCGACTACTTGCCCTTGACGACGCTGATATCGGCTTCAATGTCTACCGCGCTAGTGACGGCGGTAGCTCCGAGAAGATCAATGAAGATATTCTGACTGGAGGAACCAATTTTGTTGATAGCACTGCCGATCTTGGAGTGTCAAATGTCTATCACATTCGATCTGTGGTTGACGGCAAAGAAGCCGATGAAAGCCATCCTTTTACCCTTAGCGGCAATAGCGCAGCTGAACCACTGGTACGATTTCCAGTCCAAGACACTGGCCCTATCCGCTACCTCTGGGTCGGAGACTTGGATGGCGACGGCGAATATGACTATGTGCTCGATCGAACCAACGATAGGCAATCCATTGAGGCTTATCATAGGAATGGGACACTCCTTTGGACTGTGACGCTGGGTGCCAACAGCGAAAATCAGAATAATATAAGCCCTGGATCGACTGCGATCAGCGTTGGGCACTGGGATGGTGTCACTGTCTACGATTTTGATCAAGATGGGAAGGCCGAAGTCGCACTTCGCATCGCAAACGGCGTTACCTTTGGAAATGGCGAGACTTTTGAGAACGCCGACGACAATCAGCAATTTATGGCTATCCTCGACGGCGAAACGGGAGCATTACGTTCCAAAGAACGTATTCCCGACGACTTCATCGCTGACGGTCCGTTGGCTGCCCGTCTTGGTGTTGGATACCTCGATGGGCAAACACCTCATTTGGTCGCCTATATGAAGAACCGAAGGGAAGACAAAGCTTTTAATCTCATGTACACCGCCTGGACGTTTGATGGCGAAAAGATTAAACTCGCTTGGAAGTGGCTGCGACCCGAAATTGGTACACTCAGCGATGGCCACAATACTCGCATCATTGACGTTGATGGAGATGGCAAAGATGAAATCCACGAGATTGGTTTCTCTCTTAACGGCGATGGATCTCTCAGATACAATCTTTCGGCTCATGGAGTAATTCACGGCGACCGCTTTCATATTGCTAAGATGGACCCTGAGCGTGACGGGTTACAGGGCTACGGGATTCAACAAGATAACCCTAGCCTCTTGATGGAATACTACTATGACGCTGACAAGGGCTCTCTAATTTGGGAACACTATGGAAGTGAAATTGGAGATGTAGGTCGTGGAATGGCCGGCGACATTGATCCAAATTATCCCGGCATGGAAGTCTGGTCGTTTGAGGGCGTCTATAACGCTGCGGAGAATAAGCTCACCTCTGCCGAAGGAGCTGGTCCATGGCCGCATCTTGGTCTCTTCTGGGATGGCGATAACTTGATGGAGCTCTTCAACAATGGAAAGATTGAGAAATGGAACCCGTCAACTCAAGGTGTTGACCGGCTTGTCACAATAGGACATTATGGAGGCAAGCCAGCCAATGGGGTCAACCCCGCCTTCCATGGCGATATTTTGGGCGACTGGCGGGAAGAAGCGATTGTTGTGAATGAGAATTACACTGAGTTATTAATCTTCACGACGAATGTTGAGACTGACACTCGTCTCTACACGCTGCCGCATAATCCAGCTTATCGCAACTCTATGACCTTGAAGGGATATGTTCAGTCTCATCATGTGGACTACTTTATTGGGCATGGGATGGAGACGCCACTAACCCCCGATATCACATATGTGGGCGTCTAAGAAAGGGGGGATTAAGCTGGGTTACAGAATGTTGGTCACACGATAGAGGGGAGACTCTAGGTTGATGCTGCGTTATTTATCGACAACAATATGGCCAATCTTTAATATAGTTAAAGAAGGTATCAACTAAAGGTGAAATTATTGAGAGAACAAAGCGAAACACAGACATGACCAAATGGGAATGCGCCTAGGCAAAGCGTAAGTCATGAGAACGGACTAAGAATCAAGATACTGCTCCGGAATGGGATAAATCCCATCATTGAGAAACTTGCCCTATCTATCCACATCATTCCCCCGAAAGCCGTATCTAACTATGGTACCGGCTTGCGGGGTCCCCACGGGGAAATACGTGACCGTGAGATTTTCGCGGTAGGCTGGCGGCCGTTGAATTTCAGCCGAAACCCCGAACATCTGACCTATTGTCCATATCATGATGGCAAGCTAGGTTCTTCGGTTGATTGCTGTACGCATGCCAATCTCCATATTGATGTGTCATGCGGGTACATGCTCGGGTTGTTCGAGTATGGTTGTTGATCATCCTACCGTGGGTAGGATCAGCACCTCGGGTTGATGTTCATGCGAGGCCCATTCCCGGGTTGTCCCTGACCATGACCTGATGTCGAGCCTGGGTGTGTGTTAGAGACCAATTAAACAGGTATTGGAGGCATGTGAGACGCAAGCAACTCTATCCTTTAGCCAACTCCACTGCTAAGTCGTTCACGGCGCGCTGTACCACTACGGGTTTATTTCCTTCAAAGCGCGAACCTGCTATGTAACATTCTAGCATTAGAATACGCTGTTTCTGTTGTATTAGCGAGATGTCAAGACTGCACTCTTCGTAATCGATCTGTGTCACGAAGACCAACTTCTGCCCATATGTCACCCTAACGTGATATGCCCCATGGCACTGTTGTCGAAATTTCCCTACCTCTAACTACCCAGAGAATTTGATCAAAAAAAGCACTTTATTCGTGATTTGAATCGTAAGATTTGCTCTGGCCCACATTCGACTCTGACTTATGTGTTCCGTCACCAAGGGATCTTCTCACTATCAACGTTCTGAAATGTTCCGCCGGCTCCGTCCCTCGTAGCTTCATCGATCCTTTTCACAAGTCCAGCTGCACTTTCCTCGATCGTTATAGCACCCATATCCTCAGGACTAAAAGGAAGGCCTTTAGTGGTCTCGGCAACCATGTCAGTCTTAACAAAACCTGGATTGAGGACCATGGTAATGAGCCAATCTTCGTCAAAGTGAATCCTTCGCATAAACCAATTCAGGGCTGCTTTGCTAGCACCGTAAGGGCTTGTGTTGGACATGCCTGCCATGATGTCCATGCCCGCAATGCTCCCTACATTGGACGAGATGGCGACGAATACTGGGCGGCCGCTCAAGCTTGACCGGAGTAGTGGTGCGGTGGCCTGGAAAAGGGTCACAGATCCGAGCGTGTTCACTGCAAAATGCCGGTGGATCGAAGCAACGGAGGTGTCTAAGACCGGTTTGCCGTCTTGATTGATGCCAGCATTGGCGATGACGATGTCTAGGAAATCGATCGAACACTTTGTCTGAAGCGCTTGAATCGCGCAACCGGCTGCGCCTTCGTCGGCTGTGTCGAGCGTGATGACAATGACTCTGGAGCCGGGTCCTCTGGGCAACGCAGAGAGGCTGGCTGAGGATGGGTTCTTTGGATCCCGAACCGCAGCAATGACGGTTGTATTCGACTTCTGCAAAAATGCTGCGACAAGCCCTCTCCCAACACCGCGATTAGCCCCAGTTATGAGAACATTTTGCTTGGACATGCTTTTGAATTGGGAAAAAGGTGAACTGGCAGGTAGATACTGGTGTTGCAATATGACTTGACGAAAAACCTATAGTTGTTTGTGCAGAAACACACCCAGACACACATGCACACACATATATATATACATTGTGGTTTGTAGTTATAGCAAATCCCTTGATAATACTCACCACACAACTCCAGACGCTGCGGCAGGACTATTATGCCGCCTCCGTTAGATCGGGTAGATTGTTGCTGCGTATTGTGAAGCTAAACAAGACATGTCTACCCCCGATGTTAACTCTATGATTAGTCATTGGCCTGACGGGCTCATCGGGCCTCACTACGCCCCGAGAGTCCGCCAGAACAAAACTCCCGAGTGTCCGACTCGGATTCACGAAGAATCAACTCAAATTCCAACGATGGAGAGATGCCACTCTATGTTCTTTAAGAATCGACTAGATACAAAACGATGGATAAAGCCATCCCAAACTGTTGGCAACTATACTATGTTGTTGACCTTTCTTAGCGAAACGAAGTTTGATCTGCGATGCCGTGATTGGGGAGTTAGGCTGTTCTCCGATGCATCTTCCAAGTCTCCATCGGTCTCCAATATTTGTTTTAGCGTCTATGATCTAATTTTGCTATGCTTCGTATTTGTGTCTGAGATGATGTTTGTAAATGTGCAGTCTTGTGGATATCAGAATTGGTATTTAGGCATATGATATTAGCCTCTATAGATAAAACGGCGCCATTCCTCAACCTGGCTTAGTTTGAAACGAGGTTGCATAAATAATGACAGGTCAGTAGAAGTATTGGCAAAGAAATGTAATTGGTAGGCACCTAGCACAGTTAGAATTATTGGAACATATTTTATGGCTTGAATTGCACTCCCTTCTTCCGTGAGAACATTCTCAAGCGGCTGAGATAGAGGATTGCACCCTCATTCTGTTATCAGTAATATGTTAGATAATAACAGTAAAATAGCAATATTTCCTATGATATTTAGATGAATTCTGTATTAAGTACTAGGCTAATTGTTTTGATATTGTGTTCAAATCTGAGGCTGTATGGTGGCTTTGGTGTGCCATGTTTTATTTCAGCCACTTGATACTGTGTAAGGCTGGTAAAAGAATTTAATACTGTATTGAGGCAGTAATATATTGCCAGACGTCTAGTACTTATTTTTAAATTTGTTTTCTTACTAAAAATAAAAGTCATTCCTAAGATTATAATATGGTTTTTTTTGTGACGTAGTTGCGCTCAGCCCTACAGCATTTACAAACTTGCATATAGTCGTGTGGCTAGTACACACGATATTCTACACCCGACTTAAATCCTTTGATGTATCTGGGAAGTTCAAATAGTAAATGACTTTTAATTGAGAGAACCGTGGAAGATCCATGGATACGTCGACGCGGGCCTACGGCATCTAAGAGTAGGCTGCGGTTACGTGCTCGAGTTGTTTGTGTAGGGGTGTGATCACCCTCCCGTGGGATCACACATCTTAGGTTGATGTTCACACGACACCATAATCATCTGATGTATTTCTTGGTTTGAGATTACGAAGGTGTTTGCGAGAAGAGTGCATCACTGCCTGAAACATAGCTTAGGTATGACTTGATTCGGCTACCCAATTGACGCCGTACACTTCGCATTAGCTAGCCTGTAAGAGCGAGCTGCGGTTTTCATGACAAGTGGCCGTCAAAGTCATATTGACATACTTCTGATATCTTATAGTAGAGATTCAATAGACTGATTCAATTATCTAGACCACCATCTATCCCCGTTTTAGCCTTGAAATAGGACCCTAAACCTTGTTTTTTTTTTTTTTTTGCTTGGTTTAACTGGCGTAACGATTGTTGTCTGACAACTAAACTGTTTAACACGTTGCTTATAACGATGTTTGCTGTCAAACGGCGGCGTGGCTTGGACCATGGATCGCGAGATGAATCCGAGATCCGAGCAGACCAATGAGGCATCAACCATCCATCACCCATGCCGTTAGCACAGAGAGGCCTGGTGTGCCAAATTTAGCGCTTATTTTTGTCGAAGCGAGTTTAAATTATGCCCAGTTCCATGCTTGAGGCCCTGCAAGGTGTAAGCAGTAGGTGGGTGGCTAGGGGAATGGGACGATTATCGCCACACCTTGAAATCACCTGCTGAAGCGTATGACATTCAGGATCATTTGAAATCCTCTTAGCCAGGGAAAGTCTAGTCCTTCTATTTACCTTGAATGGTTGGCACAACGGTTGGTCACGTGTTACACCAGGGTACATGTACATAGGATTGTATGACCAGACAGCCAACAGCCAACAGCCAACATTGACACCTTTTTCATTTTAGAGCCTCAAACAATTGAATCTGATCGAACTGTCAAGGCTTCCAACGACCGCGGTTGAAATGGCCGCACCACCACTTAAGTACACTTTGCTGCGTGAAGCATGTATGTTATAACCGTATACGTATAGGGGGGAAAACGAACAGGACTGACGGCCGGGCCAGGCTACTACGATAGCATGTATCATCTCTTTCACCGGCTCGGCATTCAATCGAATTTTGTCATTGCAGCCAAGTATGCACACGCAGATGACCCTAGCCGCAGCCTCTCGAGACCACTTGTCTTCGCTGCACTGCGGCAGGTGGTAGAGGCACACGCACGGCTTCGTGTCGTGTGTGTTCTCCGCCCTTCACCAAAGGTGGGAAAGCACTGCATGCACGAAGCCATGATCAATACCCTCAATCTCGACCAATGCGTTGAATTTATCCCAGACGATGGACTAGGGGTAGACTCTGAGCTGCTCGAGAAGATTCACAATCAGTGGTTGTGGATAGACGAGGAGCCAACTCGCCCTTGGTGGAAGATCATCATCAAGGGAAACCATGTAGCGCTCATCATGCACCATGCTGTGGGAGACGGTAAATCTGGGGAAGTCATCCACACTGACTTCATGAACGCCCTTCACTCCATTGAAGAGCCTGCCAGAGAAGTAATCGAGGACGAGAAATTGATCCATGGCGACCCATCCACGCTCGTGTTCCCGCTTGAGCCGACGAGCGCCTCGGATGCTAAAACCTCCACGGTTGAAGCTGTATGGATACAGATCAAATTCCTGCTGATGGCCTTGTTCCTCGGCAGTCGAATTCTGTTTAGTACACTACCTCGTGCAAAACCTTGGATCAGATCCGCCACCGCGATTGCAGAACCCGCACAGCGTACGGTGACCCGAGTCACCTCGTACCGTATTGAAGCATCTCGAATGTCGAGAATCCTCAGCGCGTGCCGTGAAAATAAGACGACATTTTCGGCCCTTCTTGCATCCATGGCACTTGATACGCTTACCAATGACTTTTACCCTAGAGCAATAATGGGTTGCTCACAGTTCGTGGGCGATATTCGCCCGTTCCTGCCCATGTCAAAAATTGGAGGCGGCACCAAAGCCGGCACAGTCATCAATGCGACGGGAGGTGTCTAGCTTCAGCACTGGCTTGGACCATATCGACGAGCCGCAGTCAAGGCTGACTCCTCGGTACAAACCAAACAGGCTGCATGGGACCTCGTGAGGGAATACAAGGCCACCATGAATCAGTCTCAGAAAGGGGGAGGGGGTTTTATGGTTAGGCTATGGAAATACACCTCCTCACTTGGACCTGACCTGGAGTATATTGTGAGATTTGCCTTTCCCGGGATGGCACTTGCCCTAGCAAATACGTTCAGTATTTCGAACATGGGCGCATATGGATTTTCTTCAGGGGAGAGACCAAAGTGGTCGATTGTGGAAATGCAGTTCTCAGCGAGCTGTACGAACGGGACCATCGGTCAAAAAGGTCTGAAGTTTAGTGTCGCTGGAATCAAAGGCGGCGATACCATTGTTAACGTGTCTTTTGAGGATGGTATTGTATCACGAGAGATGGCAGAAGAAGTTCTTCGAGGCATTATGTCAAGAATGGAAATTCTCGCGGCACCGTAGTGTAGACACATAGACAGCCAAGGCTCCATGAACTTAAGACGAGTTAGCTATTCGAGATTGATCTTAATCTCTTATTTGGAGGGTTGCTCTCAATGTCAAGGATTCTTCTTGTATTGAGAACTCCATGGTGGTGCTTAGCTTAGAATTTAACATGGATAATTCTAGCTTTGAAAAAAGGCAGCGGAAACTCACCGACGCCAGAATGAATCACCAAATTTGAGGGTGCTCCTCGGTATTAAAGAGATAGCTGTTGGCGATTCTTCGTTTAGCACAGCACTCGATGAGACTACTGCACTTGGTTAGGTGGGCTTCTACTCTTGAGACCTATGCCAGCGCAAGACCTGACATGATCAATTTTATACAGTGCTCTTAGCACATTTCTCTGAGGTAGATTCAGATACGAGGATGAGTCAAAATTTGGCCGCAACCCTGCCTTGGATGGCGATAGGAGGAACCAAGCATTCGTTTGAAATAATTGACATCAGCAAATTTCGGAGACTAGACAATAATTTCCAAGACTGGACAATAATTTTGAATCCTAGATAATAGTTTTTGAATATTGTATAAAAGCTCTGAACACAGGACAATAACCTTTGAACACTGGACGTTGGCCCTCCCTCATTTATGATGGTTTCGCCGGAGTTTACTCTCCATCTGGCGGGAATGCCATATCAAACGTCCGTTTATAGTATTTGGGGGGGGAGTGGGCGGGGAGGTCTCGTCCACGGCCATTATTTCGGCCTCGATGGCGCTTTGCGCCTCCTTCTCGAGCTTCTTCTTCTCGTCCCAGTCCTATAGATAGATCCTGGACGTTAGTGTATGTAACCAAAAGATTGATTAGAGTGATCTTACTGTATGCCTCTTGAGTCGGAAATGTTGTTTCCGATGGCTCAATCCCCCTGTGGGCTTGTATTCTATGTCTTTGACAAGACATTTTCCATGGTCGAATTGGTCAGTCGTCACCGACCAGTCGATCTCCGAGTGTTCTAAATGGGAGGTGATTCTCCCAAAAATGTTCTTCCGCGATTCAATCTCGATCCGCTCGAGGCGGGCCTCGGCCTTTGTAATCAACATCTCTATGAAACATTGATTAGTATGTAACTAAGAAAGCATTATGGGTTCCCCATACCGGGAGTCAGATGTTCTTTGGCCTCCTTGGCGTCCTCGGCCAAGGCCTCTGCTGATGGCGGTGGTGACGGCGACGGCGGCGGTGGCGGTGGCCGTGGCGGTGATGGTATTCCGTCATCCATTGCTTATTGTCTGGTACAATATTCAGAAACCAGCCATTGGAAGCATCGTTCGTCAGATGCTCCTTGCGCTCCTTGGCGTCTTCGGCCAAGGTCGGCCAAGGTCTCTGGTGATGGAAGTTCTGGCGGCGGCGGTGGGATCCCGTCCATCCACTTCTTGTCGTCTGGGACGACATTCAAAAACCAGTCAAAAACCAGTCACTAAATGCGTCGCTCATCGTCGCTGTAGATATGGGTAAAATTATAATTAATCTAGAGCCTAGGTATGGAAGTTCGAGATGGTCAACCCAAACTTCAAAATCGAAGTCAGACTTTGTGGGTTCCTCAGGCATCAACTTGGAAAGGGAAGGAGCATCACCCACGGTCTTGCCCAACCTGCCTCCGCCGTGGCCTTAGCACCGTAATTGCTCTATTACAGCGGACAAACAGACGGACAGGAGAAACTGTTGGGGGAGGGGAAGAGGCAGCGATGGTGTAAGAACCTGTGTGCTGGTGACCCTGTTGTTGTCGTCAAAAACGATTAGTCACAGGAAGAGATGAATTTGATTGATCTGACCAAAAAGCGGATGAATTGCATGACGATGGAAATGCTAAGTTAACTGTGAGTTGGACCTGTGGCCACGGAGGTCTCTTGTCTGGCACATGAAATCCAGTGCTGCGATTAGTAGACCAGAAAACTCACTTCCCAATGGCATCAACATAGCGCTCAAGATTTCGCTTCTAGCGGCAGGTGTTATGACTTCAAAACCAAAGCGATTCTGGAATAGAAGGTTGCGATGCCAAAAACAGCCCCGTTTATGTCGCTTCCTTGCCAACAGCGATTACGCGTCACAATCTTTCGTGTATGCAGGTGGTTTCATATTTCAACGAGCCTGGCAAAGTGGATAACATTGAAATTGAGACACTCAGACATTAAGCTGCGTATTGTCGAGTCTGCGGCCGGTATTATCAGATTATTGAGCCCAATAATGCATACTGCAGAGATAATACAATACCTATATGATATTGCTTTATTTTAATTTAGATTACTGAATATGTCTACTTGTTGTAGAAAGTAGTATATTTATGACCAACTCTTCCATTGCGTGTCTCATTTCTCCTGTTATCATTCGCAAATGTCCAAATAAAAGGAAACGGAGGCACAAGCCGTAATCCGTTTCCGATCTGGCACGATGAAACCAGAACGGGCTCTCTTTGCCGATTGAACCGATGAATATCTGCCGACCCAACCGAACGACATATCCTCAGACACTAATGACGCTCTGGAAATAATGGGATACTGACGATCAACGTTGCCGACACGAGTTTTGATGAAATCGTACGCGAAAGATCCCTACTAAGGAATCTTTTTTGTCAAGTTTATTGCCGCGTGCCGTAGCCTGGCGTGGATTAAAGCGGAGAGAAGGGGGAGGGGCAACGCACACACCAATCCATCACAATCATGAGGATGGTGAATACTTAAATAGCTGAGTACCTCGCTTGATTTGACTTTCAAACTAATAATAATTTGGTATTACTTGCACGCCTTTGTCTTTTATCTGCCCTATCTCTTTCTGTTTCGTCAATCGCCCTCGACGTTTAACCAGATAACAGTAACAATGCGGAATTCTCTGGTCATTGCGGCGCTGGCTTCGCTCTCTTTAGGAAACGGGATGGTGACTGAACGCAGTAATTCAAGCTGTACCTTCACCGATGCCGCTTCTGCAATCAGCGGAAAGGCTGGCTGTACCGAAATCGTCTTGAAGGACATCGAAGTGTCTGCCGGGACAACCCTGGATATGACCGGTCTTCAGGACGGTACTCATGTAGGCTCGCTTAAATCCTTCTCTTCTATCCGAAAACCAGTTTTCTGACATGATTTCTCCCGTGCAGGTGACCTTCGAGGGAACAACAACCTTTGGGTACAAGGAGTGGGAAGGCCCTCTGATCTCCTTCTCTGGTAACAGCATAGTGATTGAAGGTGCTTCCGGTCATTCCATCGAGTGTGAAGGTAACCGCTGGTGGGACAGCGAGGGAAGCAATGGAGGGAAAACAAAGCCAAAGTTCTTTTACGCACACTCCTTGAAGAACTCCCAGATCAAAGGTCTTAATGTTCTGAATACCCCGGTGCAGGCATTTAGCATCAACAGTGCTACCGATCTTGCTATCTACGATGTCACCTTGGACAACTCGCTAGGTGATTCTCAGGGTGGGCACAACACTGATGCCTTTGATGTTGGCTCCTCGGATGGTGTTTACATCTCGGGGGCAAATGTCAAGAATCAAGACGATTGCCTCGCCATCAACTCAGGCACGAACATTACATTCACGGGGGGCACTTGCAGTGGTGGTCATGGGTTGTCTATTGGTTCCGTTGGGGGCCGCAGCGATAACACGGTGAAGACTGTTCGCATCTTGAACTCTCAGGTTACCGATTCCGATAATGGTATCCGGATCAAGACGGTTTACGGGGCGACAGGCTCGGTTTCTGATGTCCAATACGACAGTATCACTCTCTCCAACATCGCAAAATATGGTATTGTGATTGAGCAAGATTACGAAAATGGATCGCCCACTGGTACGCCCACCAATGGTGTTCCGATCACCGACCTGACAGTCAACAAGGTCACCGGTTCCGTCGATTCAAGTGCCACGAACATCTACATTCTGTGTGCTGCTTGCTCGGGGTGGGCATGGACTAATAACGATGTTACTGGAGGGGAAACCTCTTCCAAGTGCACTGGTCTGCCTTCCGGAGTCTCCTGTTAGGGACCTTCGTTCTGTTGTACGGAGAGGAGCCGGTCTTCGAATCAAGATGTTGAAGTAGGTGTGCGTTATGGCTGGAACCATAGCACTAAACTACAAAACCAAGTGGGTCTATTCCTATTTCTTTAGAGTATTTGAGAGTGCAGAGAACAGAACTAGGTAGGGGGGTTTTGAATCATCGAATGAGCGAAATGAGAAGTTGAATGAGGGCGTCAGATAGCACTTGCACTTAGAACTTGAACCCCAACCTCGCTGGTCGTATTTCATTGCCTATCTCTGCTTCGGTGATCATCTGAGTTGCCTATTCCTTGATTGGCAGAAATACCCCAGATTCCACCTCTTGCTTCAGTGGATTATACCTCCAACGACTAAAGTAGGCTGCAGTTTTGCCGGTGCGGCCGTTACTCGTGGCAAACACGCCAAGAAGTGTACCTTATTTCAGGCGTAAGTCATAGCCGGCGTAACGTTCGATTCGTGGAAATGGAACTCACCGTGAAAAGGGCCTGATCCGCCCGACACAATATCCGCATTAGCCGAGCCCATCCAAATTTCGTCATCGGGTTCATCAACTGGAGCCACGGTAAAATTGTAGGTCTGACTCTCGTCCAGCGTAATGGCAACTCTGATGTGTTTTCCAGCCCAAGCCTGCGGGACGGTAATTGTTCTTGTGGGCGGGACCTCAACTCCCGGTTTACCCAGAGCCTCTGGCCTGAACCTGAACTTTCGCTCCAATTCTCCAGTAGAACAAGAACGGGTATTGATAACGCTGACGTCGATATGCTGGTACTGAGTTAGAAATACTGTAGCCCCTGCCTCTTCATCGGCTTCCTTAGGGTCGAATTCGAGATCGACTGTAAATTGAAAGACCGAGCTTGACTGTTTCCGAGATATAAATCCCATCCCCTCTTCAAGTGGTTCAAATTGAGAATCTGCAGTAAGATTCACTCTTGATGGAGACACCTGTAGCGAGTTGGGATGACCAGCCGGAGACACTTCGAAAAGGCTTTCTTTGGGTGGTCGCCAGAAGAGAAACTGTCTTGGAATTTGTGTCCCAGGCCGGAAATCTTCTTCGTCCCCTTCATGAGCCCAGAAGCCGTCCCCGGGAAGATCTGTGTTCTTAGGTGGAAGGGGTCCGCTCATTGTTCCTTGGATTGGATCGATGATCGGCCATCCACCCTCATCCCACGTCATCGGCGACAGGGCAGTCTCCCTGCCCATAGGATATATCTCCCAGGCTGGGCCAGACCGAGTGGCCAGCGCCACGCACCACCAATTTCCGGCGGCATCCTGGAAAAAGTCTGTATGTCCCACAGTCTGAAAGAAGGCGTCCGTATTTTTGGCAGTGAGCATAGGGTTTCTCTCATACCCCTCATAGGGCCCAGAGATACTTCTTGACCGAGATATCACCGCTGAGTGGTTTGTCTCTGTGCCACCCTCACCGATGCCGAGATAGTAATACCCATCTTTGTTATATATATGCGGTCCCTCGGGATTTCGGTCGCCAGTACCGTTCCAAACGGTGAATGTCTCCAACACTTTGCCAGTGGAGATGTCAACCTGATGAATGAATATGCCTCTCGCGACGCTCATGTAGAATTTCCCATCATCATCCCAGAACAGATCCGGATCAATTTCTTTTTCCGGGTTCTCGAATCGAACCGGTCCACTCCAAGAGGCGTCATCGTAAGGATTAGTCGTAGTTACAAGAAGAATGATGGGCCCCCAACCGTCATGCCAGGACACGTAGCTAGTGATTAGGTAGAATGTGCCATCACGGTATCGAAGGGTCGATGCCCAAGTTCCTTCGGTTTGCAATGCACTGTTTCGGTATAACTCAGGTAGCTGGTCACCGCGACTGATAGCATAGCTCGCGTGCTTCCAGTGGACCAAGTCCTTGCTAGCAAAAAGAGGGACGCTTGGGAATGTCAAAAACGACGAGGTGGTGCAAAAGAAGGTATTGTCCCATTCTTTCACGAATATACAACTTGGGTCGGGGTTGAATCCTGGTAGAATTGGATTCGTGAATGTGGTATTGGCTGCATTGGACAAGCGTATCACAAAGCCCAGGAGACAGATGAGCTGAGTGATGTTCATGATCAAAAAGCTTGAAGGGTCGATAATGATAGAGTCTATTGAAATTCCCTAAGACGAGGCTCACGCTGGGGTCTTATTCCACGAAGACAAGCATGTGCAACAGGATAAATATTTATCCAATTTACCCACCAATGGGCCGTTAAGATATTTCTAGAGTAATGAAATACAATAATAAGGCAGTATTTGAGAATTACCTTCTCATGCTGTGGCTAAATACACCGGGTAGATAGCCCATAGTTGAGCTTGTCAAAAACAATCTATGCCAAACAAAATAAAAGAATTAAAGTCTCGGCTATATCACCTTCCAAGCCGCTTCCAAACCAGCCACCACATCGACATTACATAAGAAGGATTTAGGAACGAACAAAGCCCGGACACTCCTTGTATGGAATACCAGGCTTGCAGTCCGGCTCACAAATAGTATTGTTCGCAGGGACGGCTCCAGTTGCAAAGTAGGTGGCGACATGATCCTTTACACACTTGCTGCTTGAAACAAGCAGCGCACAGTGGCCGGATGCCTCCTGAACAACCACGGCCGAATCGCCATGCTGCTGAGAAGTCACATATGCGCTAGACAGTGGGGTTGCGTGATCATATCTGTTTGAGAGGATCAGGAGAGGCGCGGATGGCGTGTCTTTGTTCTTCCCGGTCTTGTCTGGCCCAGGTGCGCCGAATGGACCTCTGAAGGCGTACTTGGCGTCGTATTTCCACCCAGAACACGCCGCGATTACGCGAGTCCAGGATTCGGCGAGTGTGGGGGAGTGACCGACAATTCCTTTGGCGATATTGTTCGCCCAAGTAGCGTTGCGCAGATCCGAATCGATATATGTGTCGCTGCAGAAAGTACCGTAGCCGGCTTCGTTGTTGAGAGCGAGGTTGGATGGGGGATAGCTCGCTCCAGGGTTAACACACATTTCAGCGGGCTCGATGGAGTTGGCCAAGGAGGTCGGCGTTTGCATGAAGCCCGTGAAGTTGCCTGTCAGAGCCAGCGCTAGAAGTTGAGACGCGGGTTCATACATCACGATGGGCCGGTAGAGCATCTGTCGAAGCACGTCGCGGACGGTATGAGACGTGATGTGTCGAACGCGGCCTTGATAGACGATCGAAACAGGGTCATCGTCGAGGCTTTTCAACAGTAGGTCTACCTTGTTTCGGATATCCCGTGCGCTCTTGTCTGTGTCCTCTCTGAGGAGACAGCTAGATCCGGCATCATAGCAAGTCTCGTAAAATGTGTCGAGAACCTTTTCGGCATCGAGAAGAGCTTTGCCCATATGCTGCAATATGAAGGTTAGAAATCTGTACACATTCAGAGACTGGGGATTCTTACAGTCTGGATGTAATCGTCCGCATCAACAATACCATCAATAACCATACGACCAACTCGCCCTGGGAACATGCTAGCGAAGCTGTTACCAAGGAATGTACCATACGAAAACCCAAGGTATTGCAGCTTTGGGAGTTCGTCTGTCTTCTCCGATCGACGACACTTGAAAGTTTTCTTCTCAAGTTCATCCACGCGGTCGACAATCTCCAGCATGTCCCGGGCAACGGAAGCGGTGGCCATGTAGGGGAATATGCTCTCCGGTCCGAGTTCAGCACATAAGTTTGAAAGTCCTTTTGCGGTTTCATAGAACATCTTGAGGCCGAATGTGTCGGGATCCGCTGGTGACAGCCCACCCAGCTGAACTGCATCAGAAGCCCTGGCGAAGTCGTTTCGGTAGCAATCAGCCGATGGTGTGCTCAAACCAACACCACGAGGGTCGAACCCAAGGATATTATAGTGCTTGTCTTCGTCGACAACACTCTGAAGATATGCTCCCTCAGAAAGAACGAATTCGGTGCCGGACCCTCCCGGGCCGCCGGGGTTGACGAGGATAGTGCCGCCAAAGCTGGGATCATCTTCCCGCACGGTGGCTGGAAGAGTCACAATGGCAATGGCAGCTTTGAGAGAGGTAACATTGCCCTGGTTGGCCGCTTGCCAGTCAAGGGGGACCTCGAGACGAGCGCACTTGTAGCCGTTGTAGCAGTCGTTGTATTGAAGGTTGGGTGAAGGCTGGACAGAAGCCCAATTAAAGGTGGTTTCGTTGGAGTCTCTGGTCTGTGGTAGAGCCAAGATAGGCTCCAGCAGAAAGCCGTAAAGGAGGGCTTGGCGAGAGACGGATTTGTACATGATTGAAGCACTGGAAAACTAAGAAGATGTGATGCGGTGGAGATGATGTTTCCAAAGAACGAGGAGATTTCCTTTCATATTTATGCGTCTTCCTAGGTAACTCATTCTATCTTCGTTTTCGTTTTACAATCACAGCAAGGCATGATCTTCCCGGGGAATGAGTGTTTCCGTATGTCAATATTGCATAGCCGGGTTCCACCGTTGGCGAGATTCTCGAAGTGGAGGATCGTCAGACTCTGCCATTGGCCGCGTCGCCAAAATTTGGGTGATCTTGTCCGGAATGGGCCGTCAGCATCAACCAGATCTGTCGGGACGAAGAAGCTCACGCCTCAAGGTGCTTACTAGTCTGGCCCACACGTCAGAGAACTCACAGCCCCGAGGGCTTGGTTTCATTATTGGCAGTATCATGAAGGCCAATAGCCGATGTAGCCAATCTGTGCCCTTCACTGATTCCCCACCGTCATCCGTGTGCTAATAAAATAGAGATTTTGGCGAGCACCTTCGAGGTGGGATGCCAGATGCCATTGAGCTTGACGAAAACTGATGACGCCTCCCTCTCGTGGATGATGTCGGGCCTCGCCGCATAATGGAGTGTCTAACATTGAGCCACAATTCCCTGTTTTCTTTTCTATTACCTTCTTCCGCACCCGTGCAACATTTTACAGGAGCGCTGGCGGGATTGTCTCCTAACATGCTCTTTAAGTACTCTCGACACATTCTCACGTCCACCCCCTTCTCCAAGAGTTTCAATGCAAAGGCTTTGATTTATGTCGATAGGAGAATGGTAAATCGATCTTAATGATGAATAAACTTGCAAATGCTCTTAACGTCTTGGTATGCTCTCAACGTCTAGGTTAGGATGCAGCATCATCTCCTTATCTTGGCTAGATCAAAAAGTGTACATGGACCTAATCATGGTTATTTTTAACCATGTACAGCGGTGGATATGAAGCCTGCCGCCAGGGTTGCATCGTCATACGTTAGTAGGTCAGGGGCATATCAGACTAAGGACTTGTGGAAGTAAGGCTGTCTGTGGGAGATCTCCCGCTTCCTCAAATCAGAAACTTGGCCTTACGGCATGAGGTTCTCTCAGGAATGTCACTTTGGTAATCGTGGCTTGAGGTGAGATCCTTCATGTACAGGGAGTCATGTTCAGCTCTCACCAAAGGCACCAACGAGTGCTTACCATCACGATGCAAGTCAGCCGCTAGAGCCCCTGCGTCAAATTGCCGTGTATGTAGGTCTCATCCCGTTAGGCAGAATGGCGATTAGCGTTGTATCGGATCATTGAGACCGGCGCCTACACCTGCGACAGTTGTGCCTGGAGGCTGCTTACTGGCGCAATCTGATCAGCGAAGGATTTTATTAAGCCTCGTAGGGGAGGGACCTTGGGGGCTTTGTGTCACAATAATCTTAAGTTGAGGCGATTGATTAAATCTTATTAACCCTCGGTAGTCGAGAGCCATGGTAGTTCGCGACTACTCGCCGTTCTCCATCATTCACTCGTTTTATTTCACGCACCTCCAAGGGCATTCGCAATGGTCCAACTCTCATTCGTTTCTACTGCCGCGGCTCTCCTGCTGGCGGCCTTGCCCCTGGTCGCGGCCGCTGAGCCCTTGCAGAAGCCCAAGCAGGCCGCCATACTTGGTACATTCACGTCGCAAGGCTGCTTCAGCACCGGCCAAGGCCTTAAGAAGCAGAAGAGCGTCAATGGCACGGAAAACTCGTCAGCTTCGTGCGGCGCCGCATGCCTGGAACAAACGAAGCTGGTCTTTGCCATGACCGGCGACGCCTGTTATTGTGGTGATAAATACCCGCCCGAGGTCGACATCATCGACGACAGCAAATGCACGTACAAGTGCAAGGGCAACAAGAAGGAGGCCTGCGGCTCCAAGTCGGACAAGAGGTACTCTGTCTGGAATTCGGGCGTCAAGCTGGATGTCGAGTACGCAAAGAAGAAGACATCCAGCACGAAGACAGTCACGAAATCAGCGACGAAAACACCCACAGCCACCAAATCTTCCAAGTCTACTAAAACTTCAAAGTCGACGAAGAAGACTCCCAGTTCGACTACCACCAGTCAGAGTGAGACAACCACGAGCGACAGCGTCGTGTCGACCAGCTCCAGTGGCAATGTTCCATCAAGCACCAGCGCTGCGGCACAGACGTCGAATACTTCCGGCGCTGTCTCAAGACCCATGATTGGCGCTGGAGCCGCTGTGCTAGCTGCTGCACTTGTGATCTAGGGCGTCATTTTGGTTGTAATGATTCCTTCTTGTATGAGTCACATTATTGAAAGATTGAATATCATACCTTCAGATAGGCAATTGGTGATGCGATTTAAACGCAGGGTTGGCGCGTAATTTTCAATGGGAAAGGACAAAATGTATTGGGTAGTAATTGAATGATTTTTATGGTACTTTGTTCAAATGTAAGCGGCGAGGACATTGGTGAGATACGCAATACGAGAAATGAGACCTTTGAAGCCTGGGACTGAATGCAAGTAATTAATTGGACTTCTTTGAGATGACGCCAATAATGACTACTCAGATGCCAGGACGATCAAAAGGCACCGTTGCAACGCTACATTTGAAACGTCATGTTCGATCGTGACTCATTGCCGCAGGATCCAACCATCAGCAGCTGGACCCAGCTCTATTTACGCCCTGAATTCCATGCCCATATTGGCTCGATATGCAGTCACATGACCCGGACATCTAAAAAGTCCGAGCAGAGCCTGCGATTAGGCTCTGAAGCCTGTTGCTGACCGGCATTCCTGTGCCGTCGCCTCTTACTAAAGTCCTAGTGGCCCGCTCGGCCGTCATCATGCAGTCGGCAGACTCTGGTCCTGGTCACTCTCGTTGTCACTGAAGGCGTACGGACACAGAAACGGTCGCCGTACCCGAAGAAACGTATCTGCCTTGCCAAGGCCCCGTGGTGGTCGACTTCCGTCTGGTCGGTCTTGAGGCCGTCCAGATCCTGCGCCGTAGGACTGATCCCGCCGTTCTCCATCAGGTCCGATCCAGAAAGCTGGCCCAAACCCCTCTTTTGCCGCCTTCACATGTACCTATCCTATGCTGAGCAGCCCAGCAAACGACCGCCATGTCCGGGTCGCAACCAACCCCCGACGCCAGCCCGTCCGGCGACTCGCCAGACACACATGGTCATGCCGCCCAGGGCCTGAAGTCCAAGCGGATCCTGGCCTGTATTTTATGTCAGCAGCGCAAGATCAAGTGTGAGCGCAAGTTCCCGTGCTCCAACTGCGTCAAGTCCAACGCCCAGTGTGTCCCGGCCAACCTGGTCCCCCGGCAGCGGAAACGTCGCTTCCCCGAGCGGGAACTTCTGGAGCGTCTGCGCCGGTATGAAGACATACTGCGCAAGAACAACCTGAAGTTCGATCCCATGCACAAGGAGGACCCTAACACCAGGTCCGCCGATGCTCATGGTGACGATGCATCGGAACCTGGTTCTCCAGAGGCTACTACCGACTTCCCCAGCTCTTCGGATCGATTACCCGAAGCAAAGTAAGCTGCTCCGTGATTTCTTTTGCATCAGCTCTGCCAAATTCAAATTTAGTGACTAACTCATCCTCTTGCAGGAACTTTTGGAATGCCATGCGCCAAGGGGTACGACCTGCTTCTCCTTTTTGTTCATGCCCGTATGCTAATCATGATATAGTTTCACGAAGTTGAGCATATTGGTGAAGTAGCCGCTCGAGAAGCATGGGATGAAATATACGAAGATAACGACCAGATTCTGTTCGGTATCCGCAAAACTGTCATCGACATCCCCAGCCTGCAGCCGGAGCCCGTCCAGGTCTTTCGGCTTTGGCAAATCTACCTCGACAATGTCAACCCATTGTTGAAAGTAACCCACACTCCTACACTTCAGCCATGCATCATCGAGGCCGTCAGTAACTTTGAGAAAGTCAGCCCTGTGCTCGAGGCTCTCATGTTTGGAATCTACTCCATGGCTATCCACTCACTTACTGATGCCGATTGCCGGGCAACGTTTGGCTCTTCGAGGGACGATCTTTTGCACAAGTATCAGTACGGGTGCCAGCAAGCTTTGGTGAAGTGTGGATATCTTCGAACGGGGGACCGAGACTGCTTGACGGCTTTTTACCTCTACCTAGTAGGTACCATGTCTCTGTTCTGATCACCGGGTAGCTAACTCATTGCTATAGCTGTCTGTCTCTAAGGCTACAGACCCTCGATGCCTGTCATCGATGCTCGGCGTTGCTGTGCGAATTGCTCAACGCATGGGTATTCATTTAGAGGCATCAAACTCTACGTTTCCCCCACTAGAAGCCGAGATGCGAAGGCGGCTGTGGTGGTCTTTGATTCTCTACGACGCTCGAGTTGGAGAAATGGCCGACCACAAGAGTGCAGCTCTCGCTCCCACATGGGACTGCCAGGTTCCACTGAGCCTGAATGACTCTGATCTCAGGCCTGAGATGAAAGAGTTCCCCGCCATGGAGCCAAAGTCAAGCGAAGCGATCTATGCCGTTGTCCGCAGCGACATTGCCAACTTCTACCGTCACACATCCTCATACCTAGACTTCAATATCCCAGCACTCAAGGCCGTCGCCAGCGTTGCCAAGAACGATGGCTTGGGCATCGAGACGTTGGAGAAGAGGATAGAGGAAAAGTATCTCAAGTTCTGCGATCCGGAGAATCCTCTCCATTTCCTGACCATATGGACAACTCACCTGACTATCGCCAAGGCGCGACTAATTGTCCACTACTCCAAAACGTCGTCAAACACGCCTCCCACCGAGGCGGAGAATGACGCAGCCATTCTCCAAGCCATCACTATGCTGGAGAGCGACACGAAAATCATCAGTCTCCCCTCCGTGAAAGGATTCGTCTGGATGGGCAACATCCATTTCCCTCTTCCCGGCTACATCCACCTTGTATATGCTCTACGGCAAAACCCTCTCAACCGGCATGCCGACCACGCCTGGCGGGCCATGAGCGAGAACAGCGCGATGCGCCTGAGCTATAATAGCGAGATGCGGTTCAAGGTCGAGACGAAGGCCAAGAACCCTCTTTTTAGAAATCTGACGAAAATCGTCTTGTTGACGTGGGATGCCCGCGTGGCCGCCGAGGAGGCCATGGGGCGGACCATAGCACCACCCGATATCGTGGTGAGACTGAAGGCGATCCAAGCTGCGCGTTTAGAAGGCGAATCCCCGCAGAGCCAGACGGGATCTATTGATGTGGACGACATCAACATTAATGATATTATGATGAATATGCCGGGGGGGTTGGGGATGGACTGGCAGCTTGACTATAACCAGATGGAAGCGATGGGTATCGGGATGCCCGACCAAACGAGCTTCAATTCGAACATTAACCAGCTCAACTGGGCGACGATGGGCTGGGGTATCAGCAACCAGCAGAATCGACCAGGGTGATGTCGATCCGGTAAAGCCCCCGGTTGAGGGCTTAAATATATAGTGTATATCAGTGTAGTGTGACACTCCCCTCTAGGTAGACAATCTCCCCAAATAGAGAGCGAGGGCGTTTTCCAAAACATTATCGATCCATTTATGCGTGATACAGAGACATAACTTGTGTGCCAGGGAAAGACGTGGCACATGACATGATGATATCCCATGCAGGCCGTGTTGCCAAGCTTTCTAGCAGGGAGGCTGTGCCGCTAATTGTAGATTCATGCTGCGAGTTCGAGCAGCGCGCGGCCAAGAGCGAATCAATCTGGTTGGCTAGTGCCATCAATACGTGAAAAGGGGGTTGGGAGAACCTCCTCAGATCGTCATCATCATCATCAAGTCACCCTCCGCTCATTCACCACTTCAATCCGCTGCTCCCCTCCTCCAGCACCAGCTTGTCTATTATTCTCGCACCTGTGTAGCTGTCTCGTAAGCGAGTTGTCTAGCCCCTCATCTCGCTTACCGGCTCTTCACCCTTGCTGTCACATCGGCAGATTCAGGAAACGGCCATGAAAAAATTGAAAAAGATCCTCAATGCACGGCGCGCTTCCAAAAGCGACGCATCACCTGTGGGACGAGCACCTCAGCCCAAGCCGTCAGAGGCGGTCACGCAAAAGACATCCCAGGCTCATTCGCCTGCACGGCCTGATACGCAGCAACTAGAGCTGCTCCCATTTGAGATCCGGCACCATATTCTTCTCGCACTTGGCAATATCGAAGACCTCTCTGCTCTGGTGCATGCATCCCCAGTCTTTCACGAGCAATACGCACGCCGGCGAGGGTTTTGGCTATGGAGATACCTGCGGGCACAGATGGGCGACGGCATCATTGACGCGTACACCGCAACCTTATGCAGCAAGCCCGATTTCGGCTGCAGCCGCCAAAATGTGCAGGTCTTCTTAGCAGCGTACTATTCGCGTCGCTCAGAAGGGGCTGAAGAATTATACAAAGATGTGAAGGCAGATGATCTCGCCGCCATTACAAGATTCTACGTCGGCGTCGTGGGGCCTCTGATACGCGAATACACCCTCTTCACCCTCGAAGAAGAGACAGTTCTGAGAGAAGTCGAGCACAGGAGAATCATACGGGCCATGTACCGCTTCCAGATCTTCTGCTCTCTTTTCGGTTCCCCACGTTCCGACTCGAGACCAAAGTTCACGCAGGACGAGCATCTCGCCCTCCTTAGCCACTTCGAGCCGTGGGAGACGGAGGAGATTCTCTGCATAAATGACTTCGCGGACAATACATACGAGCGTGTGTTTGAAGAAATTGATGAATTTGATTTCCAGCCCGTGAAAAAGTCCCTTTCTGGCTTAAAGCAGTTTCTACAAAGCCCTCCTGGCATCCTCTCTCTTGGTGTTCCCGGTAAGAACTCTCCCCATACTAACCTCTCGCCATATCATGATCGGTCTTTGGGATGCTGATATTCGTCGTTAAAAGTCGTCCGCCGGGGTTACAAAATTGGTCTGGCTGCTTCAGGGTTGACCCTCTTATTATCCTTTCTCAGAACCGAAGAGCCGGAGAAGAAGTGGCAGATGTTTACGGCCATCAAGGATACCGTTTTCATGGACGAGGATTGGATGTGCGAGGCTACAAGCGATGCCGTGCAGCAGAGACGGCGTCAGACCCAGCCTTCAGATCGAGATGCGGCACAGGACCGCCGGGAGGCAATGGTCTTTTCCCACGATACCGTAGACTCGCCTCCTCTAGGATGGACCTTGATATGGAAGGAGACCTACAGTAACATTTATGGATACTACGTGCCCTCCAGCTTGCGGAGGTGGGGATACGTGATGTGGGATGCCTCACGTATGGCTGAATCTGGTGGTATACGGGTTCTGCATCATATGTGGAAGGAGCACTACGGTGATGAGTATCACGAAAATGTAGTTGATCCGAGAGATAATTTGTAGGGATAATGCACTAAATTGGTCCTTTATCAGTATCCTTCTAAGACTCTCCTGGCATGGCCCGTTAAGCTTTTCTTTTAACCTTTCGTATTCATTGTGTTGAGTTGTCGGGTCTGGCATCTTCCATTGATGTTTAACTTTATACTCAAACTCTCTTCCGACATAGCTCGTCGGCACATCCGGTTTGGAGGAAATCCCTTTAGGCCGGTAGTATTTAGCCTACTACTCTAAAGTCTCCAGATAGTTTCTTCACTGTGAGATTCATGAGAGTGTGTGAGATTCCAGTCATTTGCTGAAGCAGGAGCGAACCTCTATGGGAGATGCAGATGTCGAGGTAGAGGCACGTTTAGAGAGGGTTGTTTTTCAGCTGAGGCACACGACGCATGAAATAAGAAGCCGATTTTCAAACCTGCAGGAGCAAAAAAATCAATGCATTTTTTCACATGAGGGGAACTTCGCATACTACCGTAGACTTTATTTCCAGGGAACGAGCGGCTCATCGAATAACTACCTCCTTTCACGTGGCTCCTCATCTTGACACGAAGAGAAGAAGGGATCAGAGAAGGTAGCATTAAGAGAAATGTTTTTGAGTTTTAAAATCACAGTGCAAGAGAACACAGTGGGTGATATATCACCACACGAAATGATATAGAGGGAAAAGCCTAGTAATAAAATCGCGTCATGTTGAGACGACCAGGGGTTAACGACGCTTGGGGTCCGGGAGCTAGGGAGGGAAGAGAAGCTATAAATGGGAAAGGTCGATGGAGAAATTGCGATACCTGTCAGTCCTTGGCTCAGCCAGAGTCGTGGGCCCTGCTCGGAGCACGCGTGAGCACTCGACGAGATCGTGGGTCGTGTTCATTTCATTGCATGAATCGGTGAGTAAGCTGGTCCGCTGACCAGTGACCACACGCTGGGAACTCCTCCCAGTAATAAGGATTCATAAAATCAGCAATGAAAAGAAAGCAAGGGTCCTGCCCTGCCGTTGCCCGTGCGCGAGTGACTGACGAACGTTTTATCGGGTCGAGTGGATAGCCCTCTCCAACCCCTCTTGCACACCGGAGGTAGCGTATTTCCTGAGTTGATCGTATGACGCTGAGCACGGCGTTGAGCCTGCCATCCTTGTCCGGCAGGGATTTCAAGTCACGATCCAGACATGGAGGTTCGGCATCCAGCCAACCAGGGAAGAGTTGGCGCTCTAGACCTTTCCCAAAAAATGATTTCCTCCGTCTCTGACGTATTCAGGGTCCTCTATCGGTAATAGTAGTAATACATAGTAATATCCTATATCTTTTCATTGTATCGTGACTGGTTCTATCTTGATTTTGCCTCTTTTTGGGGGTTTCCTTTTCTCTCTTGCTTCCCCTTCTTTCGCTTTTTTTTAGGGTTCCCGGCTGCTTGGCAAGCGCATTGGGCCGATATAGTGACGTTTTAGGAGGCCAATCGAGAGAAAGTGTCGATTATTGCAGGAAGAGCCGTCAAGAAACCGTGCGTTCGGGGTCCCTGCTTCAACAGCAGGTCACTCTGGCCTAGCTTCTTACCGACCGCGACCTGCATCCCCGATCCATACTGGCGCCATGAGAAGCATCAACTGAACATCGAGGCATCAAATAGAGAGTGTGTTTCTGTCTTCAATCACTACACGCAGCGAAGAGACCTCGCACCTGTCACCACCTCCCAAGCGATATACGTCCTGATCACAATGGCGGCTTTCTCGGAATTATCATCCGGAGCGCTCCAAAACTTCTCAGGATGCGTGGCTATGCTTGTGATAGCGATATTTTTTATTGCCTTGCGTTTTTACGTGCGGTCTGCTCTCCGCCAGCCTCCTTATCTGACAGACTGGCTGTGCTTGGTGTCATATCTCGTTTTTGTCGCCTACGCCGCTGTCATCTTCAATCGTAAGAGATATCTCAAAATCCTAGAGGAAAGAAAGATTGACCTCGTCTGACTAAACTCGAAAGACATTTTCAATGTATCAAAGACCGGCGCATTTGAGGGAAGCGGCGTGGTTTCCGGATCCTCAGAACTTGGCGGAGCTGAAGCCAAGGCATTCATGAAGGTAGTTCCGGGCTATCTGTTGGCCATGGGAATCCTGCCATATTGAAAGAAGAATAGAACCACGGTACTGACATGAGAGATAGATGGGTTTCACTATTGAGTTGCTATTTACGCTGGATATTACCGTTGTCAAACTCAGCATCCTCTCCTTCTACTGGACGCTATTCGGCGTAGAGAAAATTCAGAAAAAGATCATCTGGACGAGCACCGCCATATGTCTAGTTTGGTGGATCGTCTTCACCTTCCTCATCATCTTTCAATGCAGGCCCATCAACTATCTATGGGACACGTTTGGACAGGCAAATACTTGTATATCCACGCCGAAGCTACTGCTTGCCGTTGAATTAACTAATCTCTTCATTGATATCGGGATTCTTTTGATCCCAGTCTATGCCGTAAGACACCTACGGTTAGATAGGAATCGCAAGTTTTCCTTATTAGGAATTTTCCTGTTGGGTGCGGCGTAAGTCTTACCTGATCATCTCCTTCGAATCGTATCTAGAAATCTAACATGGCGCAGTGTCTGCGTGACCAGCGTTGTCCGTGTCACTGCTATATGGAATCCACCAAATGTGATGGCTAACTGTGAGCATCCAAACTCTCTTCACTTTTACGAATCATGCTAACACATTCAAGTCCAATTCGCCAAGACGGTGTTGTGCTCTACTTTGCAGCTCGGCATGGCCATTATCTGCGGTTGCGTACCAACACTTGGGCCACTATTCACCAGCGCAGGCACACGAGCTCGAAGCTGGTATGATTCAGCGATAACAAGACACGCAGCTACATCCTCCAGCTACAAAATGACGGATGGTCCGACAGGATTAGACCGGCCGTGGGCTAATGTTGGCGGCAGCCAATACCGCAACACTACGAGGAGCTGGGCAGGGCGTGAGGATGAGAGCTCCGACTCGATGCATCACCTTGATCCGTTGCCGCCGTCCAAGATACGGGTGCAACGATCCATCGAGATATCGAAATAGCATGATCATATATAATCTTGTAATGCACTAATGTAATGTAATTTAATATAATTTCAATCTTAGAAATCAACTCTTCCGATGCTGAAACATGGAAACCAAAATCGCTAATTCATCATTTCATGTCATACTTGTTGTCCCGTCATGTCCCTTCCTCAAATACTCTCCGCCAGAGAACTTTCCCATCAGTAGGATCCATGATGATGGCGTAATGTGTCTCTTCGTTCCGAATCTCCGGGTCCTTCACGAACTCGCGGACATTAGCCATGCTGATCGCCCTAGCTGATTCGCCGTTCTTCTTCTCAAAAGCATCAACGCTCTTTCGCCAGAGCTCGTCGAGGTGGCACTTGCGGTCCAGGGAACACGCGACAATGTCGTCCATGCCCATGATGGTTGGGCCCTGGGCTATCTCTGCAACTGCGTCTTTGAGCTGCGAAGGATCCTTTTCGTCGGCAACATCGTGGTTATAAGCAGTCAAAAAAGTATCAGAGTCTCGCACGGGTCCCCGGCGATTATCCTTGTCGACAACGTAGACCTTCTGGGGAGTGCAAAAGATCAGATAGGCCGAGGTTGACGGCGATGTCGTCAACTTGGATAATAATGATCGCACATCAGCTTCACTAAACTCATCCGGTTCTCCGGTCGGGGATGCCGATTTGAACCTTTTCTCCTTTCTCTCTGTAGGCTTGTGCTGTTGTTGCGCTGTAGGGCCAAGCAGAGTCTGCCTCAGCCGACTGGAGATGGAATGCCGGAATCCCAATACCACCATGGCCTGGTTGTAGCGAAATGCAGCCTGATCCCACCAAGTCGACGAAGCATGGTGAGGTCGGAAGTTGAGACTCATACTCAGACCCTTCCTCACACCAGTCAAGACACCCACGTACCCGAGATATGTCAAGGAAGTGGCAATGACAGGCCCGTCACGGTGTCGCACAAAGTCGAGCTCGACAACGATATTTCGCAGCCTGTCCATACCCCAATCCAAAGTCCGGAAATGAATCATCCGTGATGCGCGCGATGGCGACTTCGACGAGGCCCGCGTCCTCGGTGAAGACTTCTCTTCAGCGACGCGGACACCGCCGCTGGTGCACCCCAGCAGCAGATCTAGCAGGACATTGAAGGCGACCAGGATGTGCTTTGAGATCCCCGAGGCCCTGGAGATTCCGACGAGCTCCTCGGTCTCTTCGGGGCCACGGACGCGGCGCAAAAGGGCCGGGGATATGTTCTTGAGCCAGTTGCCCAGCTTTTCGCCCGCCAGCTCGACGAGAAGCTCGTCAAAGAGCTCGTGCAAATCGCAAGAGTCGATCTTGGGCTGGAAGTGCGGCACGATGTGGTCGTACCGCTGGCGGGGCGGCAGCGATAGATCCACCACGAATTTGGGGATCTCAAGTCCCTCCTCTGCCATCGTTTCGGTCTGGCGATGTAGTTGGCGATGAAAGGGCGACAGGACAGATGGAAGAGATTGGAGGAGTTTGATGTTTGTTGGTCCTCATGAGGCACTGCCGAAACCTAGAGACAGTCCGACCGAGTCTAGACTCGCGCCCTCTCTTCAGCCACACTTGGTGCCAACTCAGTGGATTATCTTGGTACGCGACATGGCCGTTCATAGGCCCAAGTCAGTGACTAAGCAGTGAATCAATGCAATTAATGCAATCTGGGCCTTTGGAGAAGCGCCACAGATCCACGGACCGTCTCACTAACGCGAGTCATGGGCGCCTGGACCTGTCGGCTGGAAGTAAGCTTAAGAGTCAGGCTGGCTTGGCTTTGATTTAATTGATCTGGCATGGCAAGAGACAAGAGGAAGAGCCGCGTTTCATTCAGGGCCCTCAGATTATGAGACTCTGAAACGTGTCGCGCGTTCCGATCAACTTGGCCTAATTCCTTGCCTGCCTACCCTAGAGCTACATCACCACCCGTTGACCTGAGTGCCGACAAGATCAATCCAAAAAAAACAACCAAGACACTCTCGTGAGAGAAATGTAGGCTTTATGTATCTTCCTTTTTGCTAAGATCATTTTCAATCTTAGCAATACTTGTTTGACAATTTGTCTAGAGACTTTGGGGTACTTAAGTCCAGTCCAGTTAAGTACCAAACCGTCCGTGAGAAAGAGATATACGGCCTTTGATGCAACAATTTCGAACCGAGACATGAACGATGATATTCAAAAAAGGCAAAACTTATGGCCTTGATATAACTTCATTCTCATCACAACCAACAATTGCCCGACGTCGTGCGAGATCGGCTTCAGATGGGCATCACGAGCTTTTGCGTGCGTATGATGCAATGTGACAAACCCCCACTTTGTGTCGCAACAACACCAAAACCAGACCCTCAATGACACGCTAAGAGGCAGATAGAGTGCTTCGGATAACGTAGCCAAGGAATAATGCGGAGGAGGCAGAAGATTAACGGCGCACGCCCGATGGTGGCATTGGTAATGTGTGCCTCCTCGATTGCATTTAGACGGATGAGCCCCTCCTCCGTCACTCATTTTCTGCCGCTCCTCAGTCTATACGGCGTACCTTGGCCTTGATTTTTGTATAATTCCATCATGGCGGACACCAGTGAAAGTGCCAGCTCTGGCAGCAAGAAGCAGATCATTCTCAATGCGTTTGTTATGAACACGCCGGGCCATCTCTCACCAGGCCAATGGCGACACCCGAGGAACAAGACTGACCAGTACACCAAATTATCATTCTGGACGGAGCTTGCACAGCTCCTCGACAAAGCAAATTTCCATGCCATGTTCATCGCCGATACCTTGGGTCCGTATGATGTCTACAAAGGCCCTGCCAATGTTGTGCCCGCCCTCAGTTCAGGGGCACAGTTCCCAGTCAATGACCCCCTCTTCCTCGTGCCAAGTATGGCGGCAGCGACCAAGAACCTCATTTTTGGCGTCACAGCTAGTCTGACATATGACAAGCCGTACGCCCTGGCGCGACGCCTCTCCACGGTTGACCATCTCAGCGAAGGCCGTGTCGCCTGGAATATTGTTACGTCGTACTTGGATAGTGCAGCACGCAACCACGGCCTCAAGGAGCAAATCCCTCATGACGAGCGGTACGCCATCGCGCACGAGTATTTGGAGGTTCTCTACAAGCTCTGGGAAGGCAGTTTCAGGGATGATGCAGTCGTGGCCAATCGGGAGACTGGCCAATACATTGCCAATGACGCCGTCCGCCAGATTCATCACAAGGGCAAGTACTTTGAAGTGCCAGGACCCCATTTCTGTGAACCCTCCCCACAGCGCACCCCGTTGCTATTCCAAGCCGGCGTTTCAGAAGCCGGTAATGGGTTTGGCGGCAAGCATGGTGAGGCCATCTTTATCGGTGGGCAGACTAAAGAAGGCGTCCGCAAGACGGTGGATAACTTGCGCAGCATTGCTGTCAAGGAGGGGAGAGATCCCAACCATATCAAGATTCTTCTAGGCCTCGGTGTTATTGTGGCCGCAACAGACGAAGAAGCATATGCCAAGCGGGCTGAGCATCTGAAGTATACTGACGAGGAAGGCGCTCTTGCGCTTTTTGGAGGGTGGACAGGGGTTGACCTTTCCAAGTACGACGATGACCAGAACTTTTTGCACAGCGACTCGCCTCGGATTCAGTCCATGGTCAGGAGGTGGGCAGATACTGTCCCAGGAACAGACAACCTTCCATGGACAAAGCGAAGAATTATCGAGTATCTGAGCCTTGGCGGCCTTCAAGCGAAGGCTATCGGTGGCCCCAAGACTGTCGCTGATGAGCTGGAGAAATGGGTTGAGCTTGGTGGTGTTGACGGGTTTAACCTGGCCCATATCACCAACCCAGGAACTTTCGAGGACATCATCGAGTACCTGCTCCCAGAGCTTAGACGCCGCGGGCTTTTTAGAGAAGGGGTTGAGAAGGAGGGGGCCACAGCTAGGGAGGTCTTTATTGGCACGAAAAAGCTACCTGATGACCACCCAGGAAGCAAGTATAGATGGCGAGCTGGCCAGGAACCTCCCCAGTATTAGCACAGGCTATCTAGTCAATTGATTTGGAATGGTAATTTGGGTTGCCGAATATATGTCCATGGGGATAATTTGAATTCGCTTTATGAAGAGCCACAAGAGAATACATAATCAACAACATTTGTAATCCTGAATCTTGCGCGGGGTTTAGAGGCTCTTCTTCATCAGCACAAAGCGAACTCGAGAAGTCAAAAGCCATACTTCTCTACACCCTCAATCTCCTTTTGGACAGTCTTTAATCTATACCCCTTCACTAGCTCATCATCCTGCGTGACAATGAAGTTGATTATAAGTTGTGGTTTTTCAAATGTATTTGAGGCACTTGGTCTTGGAGCAAGTGGTAGTTTTATGGCTGCCATCTCTCTCATCTTCTCGGTGTTGCCTGTTGTTTGGCTTCAGCTCAGGTCTCGGACTTCTAAGGCCTAGCCCAAAGCTTTATAAGGTTGTGAGAATGTAACTACACTCTACTCATTGAGTTGAGTTCTCGGGCGCTGGCAGCTTTCATTGCTGTTGGACTTTATTCTTTTTCTCCTACGTATCTACGCTCTCCTTCTAGAGTATGCATATTTCAAGACTCAGCTACTATTATCGGCTAAACTGCACGAGAAGGAAAGTGAAGAGTTGTAGTGCCTCTGCAGAAGAGAAACGCTGCTGATAAGGAAAGTAAGGAGTTACAGACGGCGCGAAAGATAAAAACAGAGTAGGAAATACGAGACGAAATAACAAGACAGGTCATCATTTGATACTAAAGACGACAGTTCTCCAAGGTGGAGTTTAGGAGGAAACCAGTTAGACCCGATTTCAATGTTGCAAGCCACACCAGTCGATTTCATCTCTCCATGAAGAAGCGACTCTAGATTTGGCAACCAATGAAGGTTCTTTGAAATTTGGTCGCAGTGAGAGAGCGGAGTTGACTATTCTGGTCTTATCGCCGATGCAAGTGGCTGCCTTCAACCAAAATTTGCTACTCCGCACCTTGTCATCAACAGTCAACCTGCCGTTTTGATGGGAACTTTTCGTGCTAGGTAAAATGAAAAAGGACAGCAAAGGCGGCTATCGGCCGTTGCCGGTGTGTCGCTAGATGACCGTTCGTTATCGATGGAGACGGAAAGGTAATGACTTGAAGAAGAGGCCGGACCACGTAATGGCGCGCCCACAACGGCCGCGTTTGGCAGGTGTATAGCATGGAGTGTGGCAAGACTGAATGCGTATATAGAAGCATCTGAACGTCTGTGACTAGGAATGAGGATAAAGTCTACCAGATCGAGCAGTGGAGAATGTTCAAGCTTACATGTTAGCGTCTCGTCAGCCTATTTACCTTTACAAGATGCTGCGTTCGTTTGTAAGCTTTCAAAGAATCTGTAGAAGTGATAATTGGCGCGTAGGTCTCGACCATAGTCCCATTGATGCCGAACATCCGGTATGGAGGGGATTCAGTAAGGTGCAGCAGCTGGAGGACCCTTACCCATCCTTGAGCCAATGCCGACCTTCCTTTTCAGGCGTGTCTAACCACATCCAATGGAGAATCAGAGACTCTTGAAAAACACGGGAGACGATTGAGAGCTCTAAGTCGTCAATGCAACGATGGGGGGCAACGTGAGCCTTTAGTTTCAGTTCCCGCTCCATCCTCCCACATCATGCGTCTCCCCATCCTGTAACAAGTATAAAGATCGGCCATGCCACTCTAATCATTGAGCTCTACTTACCTCATGATCCTGACCGTGTAGATTGGCACACTTTCTTACCACTCGATATGCTGTCCAAGGTCGTTGTCGGTGCTGTCGCCGCCTTTGCTGGCAGCGTCATCGCTGATTCTGTTTCATGTCCTTCCAACTCCCCGCTCAGCTGCTCATCATCATCGTCTACTGACACATGCTGCTATAACACCCCCGGCGGGCAGCTCCTTCTCACTCAGTTTTGGGATACGAACCCTTCCACTGGTCCTACCAACTCTTGGACCGTTCATGGACTTTGGTAGGCTTCGCTTTCGAGAATGACATCAATTAGCCATGTCGCATGACTAACATTGAACAACTAGGCCTGATAAGTGCGACGGCACCTACGATCAGAATTGCGACAGCAGCAGGGAAGTGAGCAATGTTACCGCGATCTTGAAGGCGAAATCTCCTGCCACCTTGTCTTACATGCAGACGTACTGGAAGGATTATCAAGGTGATGATGAGTCATTTTGGGAGCATGAGTTCAATAAGCATGGCACATGCATAAGCACCCTGGAGCCCAAGTGCTACAATTCATATCAGCCCCAAGATGAAGTTGTCGATTTCTTTGAGCGTACTGTCCAGGAGTTCAAGAACCTCCCGACTTACGACTGGCTTAGCGCTGCTGGTATCGTGCCCTCCACGACCAAGACCTACACCCTTGCGCAGATCCAGAGCGCCCTCTCATCCAAGCACGGGCAGAACGTTGTCATCAGATGCAGTAGCGGTGCGCTTAACGAGCTCTGGTATCAGTTCAACGTTAAGGGTTCTGTTCAAACCGGCACCTTCGTTCCCGCAGCCCCTGTTGGCTCAGGCTCAACCTGCTCATCAACTGGCATCAAGTATCTGCCCAAATCCGGCTCAACCTCTCCGACTTCCACCACCACCAGCGCCGGTTCTAATCCCACTGGGTCGCCCGGCCAGATCTCTGGATCAGGTTATATCTATGTGACCACCAGCAGCGCTTCTTCTGGAGGGTTCCTTGTCAGTGGCGGAACTTGGTATAGGAACGGAGGAACACCTGCCACTTTCACTGCAGCGGCCAGCTCTGATGGCTCGACGTTTACTTTGAAGACCAGCAAAGGAAGCTGCGCTGTGCAGAGCAACGCTTTGACTTGCAGCTCTTCAGTGTCTTCCCCAACCTCATTCGGGTATGATGGCACCTATTTGACATATAGTGGCTCCAATGCCTTCTATGCCACGTCGGTTCCCTCTGGTACTACCCAGGGAACAATTTACACTGCCTCCCAGTCTATCTCTCTCAAGCTTACTTGGACTGCTACGTAAATAGTAACATGATGGCCATTAAAAATGCTCAATTGACCAAAAACCAACTTTCTCCTTACCTTCCCTGGCAATTTGATGCCAATCGTGACCCTGGGGAACAAATAAAACCCTAGATGCATTATTTGTCTGTTAATATATCGTTGCATGCACAGTATATATGGATCTTTTTGCGTGTCACAGAGAATGTTTCTTATTAACGAATGCAATATAAGGTGACCAACGCCTTCCTTCCCCCACGTCGTGCCAATGAAGACATCACTTTCCGCAGCCTACCTACTCATACGGAGTATCGCAGGTTGGCGAAACGTTAGAAAGCCGCCCTCCGCCACCTTACTCAAACTTCGCCATTTACGGAACGCCCGGAATGGGCTGAACCCAGTCTGCCTTTCGACTCACCCAAAACTCAACATCGGGCTTCCTCTTGGTATCATATCCATCAACTGTCCCAGCTTGAACAATGGCGAAGGGCCTCAAATCTGCTTTCTCTTCGGTCTGCTTGAAAATTATGGTACCGCAGTCCGGGCAGAAGAAATACTGGATGTAGATCCCGCTCTCTTGCACGAAGCTGCCGGTCTTGGGCTCCCCAGAGGTCCATTTGAAGTCCTCGCGGTCGACAAGGAGGTTGTAAGTGAAGGCAGAGCCGCTGAGCTTTTGGCATTGAACGCAGTGGCAGATGGCCTATGCAATCGTCAGCTCTTGTCGTCTCCTATGCAAGGGATATCCTGGGGGACTGACCGTTTGTTTCGGTTCACCGGTAAAGGAGAATTTGAGCTGATTGCACATGCAGCTTCCCGTGAAAGAGGTCATTGTGAAGAGTAAGAATATAATGTGTCCTGTAGTTTGCAGCTGCGAAGGGATAGAGTGTGTATTAGTAACGGATTGAAGAGCCTCTTAGGATGAGGCAGATCACTGATGTATATAGTCAGAAGAGGCCACGATGGTGTTCCGTATTCTACTACGGCTGAGACGGGAGATCCTAACCGGCAGCGCCACTCTGCGGCTGTGTGTCCGTCATGGGTAAGATATGGCCATCTATTCTCACCCTCATCGCTGAGCGACCAGGCCTAGACCCAGCCATGTGGATGTAGGGGGGGATATGAAAGTTTTGGTTTGAAAACGGCTGCTAAGGAGACCACGCTAGCTGGTGCTTACTATCATTCTGAACTGTGAAGACATATGCCGAGGCCACTTGCTCCCCGCAGCTGAACTGGAAACCTTACTAAGATCTGCCACAAACCTTGATCATACTTCGCTTCCTCGTTGGGTCAGGCCTCGTTTAACTGCGCCACGAAAAACCTCATCAGTATATCGATTGTAAGCGCCATTTCGTGGAGGACGATATTTATAGAATGCTGTTAGTGGTCGACCCGAATAAAGTTGCCACAAATTCTTCCTCGGTCTTCAATACAAGCTCTGGTCTTTGGTTGCGGACGTAGAAGTGGCAGTGGATGCTACCACCTTCTTTGAGTTTGCCTCCCTCCATTCCCGATTTGGCTCTGACTCAGAGGACATTCAATAAACACCATTTCCCCCTAATAATCATGTGATGGCTGGGTGCTTTCCGCTAATAGTAAGAAGTGTCGTAAGTATGACGATATCAAGAGCTTGATTGGCAAAATGGTAGAGCTGTTCGGCACTACACAGCCAATTAATCATCAACCCTTTCAACTATCGATCTACCCCATAACCCTAATATCCCGTTCAAAATTACATGTAGGGGACTCCTCCCGACGAATAACAGCGGCTTGATAGAACACAGCTAGTCCTGCCCTAAACTATTTCCGATTTTGAGCCGGGTCTGATTCATGTGAAATCAGTGTTTGCTATGTGGCTGAATTATATAGCATCTCTTGGCGCCTTTATCTGGACGTGAGAATACATTGTGAAGGCGTAGTATCCTAGTCTAATACCCTGGTTTCCAGAAACTCTAGCCTCACTGTTACCTGCAATCCAGTTGATGGAGGTATGCACCTGACCTTTTAGCCTTGCTATGTGATTACTATGTGCTCCGTATCAGAATACCTTTCTATGCCTCCTGCTTTATGGCCAAATTCTGACTTGACGATTCTGAGATTTTCACTGTTACTGGGAGCTATTCGAGCCTTCAGATCACAACACGCCTCCAGTCAAGTCATTCCCAAGCTCTCAAAAGCAGGCATTAATCTCCAATTGTCATCTAGGATTGGAATCGCTTACATACCGGTGCTCCTGGTGCAACCCTCCTTTGAGGGAACCCTTCAGCCTGTGACAGGTACTGCGGCAGGCTATTGGAAGGTCTGATCGACCTTTGAGGCCTAGCTTAGCCGAGGATCGTGTATTTCAATATGTGCCGGTCATCGTGTTGGCCCGGGTCCTTCTAGATGTTTATGTTTCTAGGCTTGGTAAAGGTTTTTGGTCCCGGCCCGCTGGATACGGTCGCGGGTGAGGTTTTTTTTTCCGGGCAAAGTGTGTTCATTAAATAAGTGTGTATTTAGGTACCCCCTATCTTAGATAGGTTTAATTGACTTGTTATGACATACCGGTGCTCAATTGATAGGCATAATATCTGATAATACTTGATACTAACAAATGCTCTAACGAAAATTGAAGAAGGGCACGCCTGAGTTAACTTCTGAAATTGACATATTCCTGGATTCTTATCCTGTTCATGTTATTATACTTACTCACTCGGTCTTCTGCTGTATTATTAGCCACCCATGCTGTATCCACGGTTAAGTCATTGTCAAAGTCACTACGGCTGCTATCTCTACCTCCTGCTACCTACATGTTGGACTGGCACTGGCTAGCCAATCATGAAGGGGTTTCCATGTTTCCATTAAAGAGGTTGAGCTCAGACCATTTACTTTGCGATGGATACTACATGAACATAGGTATTATAGCACTACACGGCGAGATTTCAGCGGTGAACCAGAAGTAGCAAAAGGTACCGTTCTACATAGAATCCAGGTGGCTAACCAAAGATGATTATATAAAACAATGTCTTCTCTTATACATGCTCTCTTCTCTTCCTTGCGACGGTAGTCTAATTCCTTCCCCCCTCCCGGTGGTAACTAGGATCTAAGGCTTCCATGTAGACTTCCGAGCCGGCGGAGCGGGCTTGTTCAATATCTGGTCCTTGGCCCACTGGGTACGAGATTTCTGGGCAGCCTTCTCGCGGTCAATCTGCTTCTGGTACTTGTCTGCTGGGTTGTAGCTTATGGTCTTCTCTTTGCCGAAGATCAGATCACCCGGTCCTCGCTTACTTTTCCATGTAGACTTCCGAGCCGGCGGAGCAGGCTTGTTCAATATCTGGTCCTTGGCCCACTGGGTACGAGATTTCTGGGCAGCCTTCTCGCGGTCAATCTGCTTCTGGTACTTGTCTGCTGGGTTGTAGCTTATGGTCTTCTCTTTGCCGAAGATCAGATCACCCGGTCCTCGCTTGCTCTTCCAGGTAGACTTCCGAGCCGGCGGAGCGGGCTTGTTCAATATCTGGTCCTTGGCCCACTTCGTACGAGCTGCCTGGGCAGCGTTTGCACGGTCATTCCCGTAATAGTTTGCAGGTCTTCCGCCGATGGTCCTCTCTTTGCCAAAGATCGCATCGCCCGGCCCTCGGGGCTCAAGTTCAGCGTATTCAAAGTCTCGCTCGTAGAGGTCGTCGTCAAAGTCGCGCTCGTACAGCTCGTCATCAAAGTCTCGCTCATACAACTCGTCGTCAATGTCTCGAGTGTATAACTCGTCGTCAAAGTCGCGCTCGTAGACTTCCTCGATCTCAGCCCTCGCCAGGAGAGTGAAATCATTGGTGTTCTCATCAATTCCCAAGGCCAGACCCTGGCTAGCAAGGCCAAGCCAGACCAGTCCAGCGAGGCTGAGTTGCTTGTAGTTGACCATTTTGATTGTAGGAAATAATGAAAAGTGGATAGAAATATGAAGAAAGGTCGTAGCAGAGAGATGACAGATAGAGAAACAAAGTTCGAGTTAAACAAAAAGTGATGTGTGAAGAATCGAAGTGTTGAGACTCAAGGAAAACGTTGTTTTGGTTTTTTTTGGGATATTCTGAAGAATTAGGAAGAAGAATTAGGAGGAGAACGGCTTATAAGTAGACTTTGGTTCAATATAGCAAGAGACAGGTATAGCAAGAGACGGGATGCTCAAAATAGAGTGAAGGATTTCTCTTGATTCAAGACCCGGCAGAGAGTAAGACAACCTCCACTTATTCGTTGCTCCGTGCTCAGTTGTTGCGGAGATCTGCCCCTTGCAACCAAGATGCAAAATCAAATGCCGTCACACTAAACCATCCTTCGGCATGCACCGTCTTACATGTACCGGAGGGGCTACGTAGTCGACCTGTATTTGATAAAAATGCAGGGCTTCATGCTGCACTAGGTCATTGCGAAATATCCTACGTCATATCTTCTAAGTACATATAATAAGAATACACCTACTCGTTGATTAAATTGAACAGCTTCAAGCTCCTCGTGTTAGTTTAGCATTTGTGATCCCTGAGGGCTGCGGCTTACATATGTGTGACGTACCAGCAAGGGCCAACCACTGTCAGCTTGGTATCAGCAGGGATACTGACTTTTGTGAAATACCTAATACGGTGGCATTTCGCGTCATCATCATGGGGTCCAACATTGTGACCATCCGGACTGTACATTGGAATTAAAATTACCTACCAAACATAGGATCTAGACCGAGAGTCTGGACCAAAGCAGGGAATGATATTCCAGAGACAGTAGGGACTTTCCCAAACCGACTTGCCTTATTAGATGACTGATTGCCTCCAAAGGGCCTAGTTATGGATCGCCACCACTGTCGGCGGCGGACTACGGTGAGATCTAGGTCATAACCCGGAGATTGTGTCAGAAGCCAAGGTCAGCATATCGCCTAATGGACTGGAACCGTCCTTTGCTTTGGGTTTGGCCATCTAGCTCTCGGCTTGCTGTTCTCTGATTCGGAGCCGCAATTGCCCGATTACCATCTCTAGCTCTAGCCACAACGCATCTTGGTGTCATAACATCATCTCGCGTTTGGAACAGGTACAAACACCAACGACTCATGCTTGCCGAGGATACCTGATTGGCTTGAGGGGAATGGTTGGAGTTATTAGCGCGGCCAGACTTTCAGGCAGTTCCAATGAACCGTTGTTAAGGTCAGCTTATTTGCCTGTTCCTGTTCCTTTCCCTCTCTTACCCTGGAGAAACTGACACAATGTTAGCGTTCGAGAATCCTCTCTCCTCTTAGTAAGACGATTTAGATAAAAGTATTTTTAATCGTCTATACGCGATAGCTCTACCTCATAACACAAGCAACTCGACTGTCGCGGATAGTATGTTATCCCTCAAGTTGAGGCTTTCGTTGACCAAAGTATGTGATACGCACTCCGTAGTGCGCAAACTGTTACTATTTCTCAACAGTGAACCATAACAGCTTGTGAGTCGAAGGAGGTGACCGTAATAGTCATAACTTTATAACAATTGAGATATAAACTAGTCCATGTAGATTAGCCACATGTTGCTACCTGGAGGGGAGCGCAAGGTTACTCTTACAGTGCGTCCCGAGGATGGCGAAAAAATCATTGCGTGCTCGGTTGAGACAGGTCGTGTCCAGGATGAGGAGAATGCAGTGACCAGGGTCACAGCTGTTCGCTTGTATACGAACCGTGGTCCAGACCTCGAAGGGCATGCCAAGGACTGGACGCCGCCACCAGCTGATGGGAAAGGTATCAGAAGTGGAAGAGCATTCGTGGACCTCAAGATGACCCATTTTGATCCTATTCTTACCAACGGGCATATCAAAGGTTTCTGGGGTCACGCCATCTCATCGTCACAAATCAATCCTCAAAGCGGGATCAATCTGGGGCAACAAAGAGGTCAGTTCGCCGGAAGTTCTCATGTTATTGCCTATGTGATCTAACTTTCTCGATTACAGGATACTGCAAGTGCTGTCGGAGAACCCGAGGATGTTGACCCTTCCACCATCGTTACCGAACCCCAGTCCTTCTACCTGAGTTGTCGTGAACGTTTCGGCTGGCAAGAATACGCAGCCGGTAGGATAGCCAACCTGGAGCATCGCTTCGAAAAACCTCTGCCTATAGTCCCCACAGTGCTCTACGGTTTCCGTGCGATCCAAGCCCGAGCAGGCAATGCTCCACGGGTAGCGCTAAGCCTTTCGTCGTTATCAGAGACCGGGTTCACGCTCTCTTTGAAGTCCTTCCTGCACGAGACAAGCAACATCGAGGCCAACGTCCTGGTTCTTCCCAACGGAAAGACGCCCTCCCAGCACGGCTTCGTCGACGTCTCTGTTCATCCGAGCGGCAGGTCGCCACGCCAGAAAGCAACCACCAAGGTCAACTTCGAAAAGCCTTTCAAGAAGCCACCCAAGATCTGCGCCTGGTTCACCGAGCTATCTATACCCAATGGCCACCGCAGCATCTGGGTCTGGATTGATAACATCACAGCAGACAAGATGACGATACACATCGATACTTGGGCAGACTGAGAGTTCGACGCCGCACGGGTCGCATGGCTGGCATGGCCGGCCGAGTTTGACGGCAAGACGGTCCGGGCCAACCACGATAGTGTTTTCAGTAAGAATGACGGCTTGTATGAGGGGCCGTGATACCGTGGGCCTTCGAAAAAGACCCCAAGGCATTTGGTGCCATCAACTACATTGACATGCCCGCTGAAGAAAACGTAGACATCTTTGCAAAGACTGAGTAGGCGACAAAGGAGAAGCTATGCTGGCAAGCAGGGGCCAGGATATCGTTTGTAAAAATTGGCATGTGTTGGATAGGACTTAAGTAGCTTGTTTTAACGCAGTTGTGGCGGGCATTATGGGCCAACAAACATTGTTCAATCCACTTCAATATTAAACTTATAACCTCGTATGTTTGTACAATAAATCCTATACTGCCTAGGTATTTAGTAATCACACCCCTAAGTGAAGCAATACCCGCCATATTCCTTGCCGTCAACTATCAAGTCTTCAAGACAATAGTTCCCTACGTCCAAGTATTCTCATTTATCCTGCATCCGGCTGAGATGCGCGCCCCGTCATTAATTTCGCAGTTTCAACTATTATCTGACGTATTTCGCTCCTGTTAGGTGGAAATCGCTTCACATAGCGATCGATGTATTCCACCGCGTCCAACAGATACTCCTCTTCCTCCTCGTTGGCAGTCTCGTAGCTAACGTAAATTGGGCCCATGAAATTCTCTGCTACGATAGACTCCAGAGATAGGACGTAGGGAAGACATTTCCAGCATTCGTGACAACGCTCTCGCAGACGTTGGCCAGTTGTTTCAGCATCTGAAGACCCAACGATCACGGCGGACTCATATAGTATGCGAAGAAGGCCAATTTGAGCCGCTACGGCCCCTAAGTATACCATGCCATGATTTGGAGTTCTGAATTCGTACTTGGTCCCCATGGGTGATTCCGGGTCCGGCTTCTCGACCATGGTACCTTGTTTCAGGGTGCTGTCCTTCGATGCCGTTACAATTCTCGCAAGCGCAACATCCACTTCCGATACCCTGTGGCAGAATGACTCGATGGCCAGCTTTGTTTCAGCCGTGTGACTCTGATTGCTGATTTGGTTGAACTCGGACATGAAAGTGTGCAGTTGCTTGCTACATTCGACGAACTCGAATGTATCGTGTTTTGAGAAAGGGCCCATGTCCACCTCGCTCGTGAACTGCTCTATACCTAGGTCTATTGCCTCTTGCCAGTCGGGTGCACTGAAAAAGCTGCAACTCTCTCTCAGGGACCAGTCATTCAACTACATCACACAAAGGCGTTAGAGCATCGTCTCATAGTAGAAGGCCTTGGTATGACTCACCAGTATGCCATAGAGCTCATTCGCTACCGCGACATCGAGGTGGTCCTTTAGCTTGGGTGGGCCCTTCATCTTGACCGCCTGCAAGATGCCTTTGGTGTGTACATTAGACGGAGTGCCTCGTCTGAATAATCGTTCCATGCGTTCTAGCAGTGCCATCGCCGCCATCGTTTCCGGCTTGAAAGCTTCATTTCCAAGAAGTGTCATTCGCAAACTCCGGAGCGCCTTCCCGTATTGGGTCATTACGTGAAGCTCTCCCTCAGGCTTATGGTTCCGGAAATCAATCAAGGCGGAGCAGAACAAGTCCACCGAATCTCGTAGGCACTTGCTTTCCGAAAGACGTGCCGGAAGCTCCGGTAGATAGCTCATGCTCAGCGTAGTGATCCCCTGCGGGCCGCGCTCCAAGCTACTGACCAGCCGTAGGGCGATGTGATCGTAGCGAGTCGTTGGGTTGGGCCGAGGCTTCTGGTAGTCCGACTGGTAGATACTGTGAAACCAAATGGGACGATGAGACTTCTTCAACGTAATCTGCCGAGGCTCTCCTGTCAAGGGTTGGCCGCCGCCGCTTGATGCCCTCGCGCCACGGGGCTTCTTGGTAACGAATTTGACCAGCGATGTTGGCCCCGGGCAGGGCGAGCTTATGACGGCGCACCGCGTGCATGTTGGCCAATTTTCGTCACACTGGGAAGAGAAAAAGTCCGGGTTAGTAACGCGTACTGGAGGTCATACCAGGTCACATATAATTTACTTTTAGCTTGCGGTCCTTGCAAGTCTGGCACCCTCGTGACCTAGGTCCGCTCGGCATTTCGACGACCAGGTGTCAGGGTTGACAGAGCCTTGGGTGCGATCAGAGATTCATGCAGAAGTTTGTGATCAACAATAGGGGTTTCGGCATTGGTGAGAAAAGCCGACCCCTGCTGACCCCACTCCGCTGATTCGTAAGCCCAAAGGTGTGTTGACAGAAGGGTCAAATACAGCTGTATTGTAGCAAAGCAAGCAAAGGATTGAAAAGCAATTAATTGTGATGATGATGGAAGGAAGAAGCTATCTGTTGTTAGGTCTGACGGAACATTCGCCTTAGTTAGTTTCACAGTTAGTGGACGATAGGCTGAGGTGCTTATCGATATGCTGATAAGCCAGCGATAGCCGGGATCCACTCCAAGTTGAGTACAAAGAAATTGATGTCTCTCAGGCTATGAACAACGTCAATAAACGCAAGGCATTTCTTTAAGCACGATTCGAGCGTAAAGAAATGACTACGCCCATATATGTGGCAGATTTTGCTCTATCCAGGCGCAATCCAACAGCATCTATCGGCCCAGTCACGATAAAACAGCTGAATAGCGCCGAAATTGCTGACGGTTAGAATGATAGACATCATACATGCCGAATGTGGCGTTAGAGATATCAATGCAGTACGGCAAACGTCATGCCCTAACGAGGGTGGCGTGAAGAATTCGAAACGCTATGTTGCCATGCTCCTGTTTCGTAGCAGAACCCAACTCTAGGTAACTTGGTGTGATCCTTCGCGCTGGGCTAGTGATGTTAGTGAATATCCGGTGCCTCTCCGTTTCAAAACGCTTACTCGCAACTCGGCCGTCGCTTCAGTCTAGTTCAGTCTATACTTCTTCCAGTGGGTTTCTTTATTAAATAATATGTCAGATTAACAGTCTACAACGACTGGCTGCAGAGTTGCCTAAAGAACCAATGAAGCAAGAATTAGCGAATAGCGCTACCTGGACGTTATTGAGCTACCCTATATCATGGATCGAGACTCGCCCGTGCGAGCCACCATCTTTCTACTCTTTCGGGGATGAAGGTTCTATATGGGAAGCATAATTATTTTTGAATATAGCATGTTCTTGTACAAGTTGAATTTTTGTATATGGAAATTGTGTTAATTTGGTTTGCTCATGAGCCAAGTTGGAAGTCAACTTCAACCATCAAAGGCATTCCTGTCAGATGCGATGTAAAGTTGAATCATCAAAAAGACAAAAGTCTTAATCCCACCAGCGATCCCATGATCCCTTCATTAGATTAAGTTAGAAAGCTTGCGGATTACAGTATCAAATACACAATATCTCCCGTGAGAGCAGGTGAGTGTTAGGCATACCCACTTCGCTCGTATCGCATTCGGATGCGGATCGGATTCGGGGTCTCAAAGTACAGCGGGCTCTAGCAATATCCGTAACAACGAATTTTTTTTGTATCTACTTATCTTGGATAAACTACCATTTTGTCCCGCAGAATTATCATTCCGTATTCACCCAGCTTCCTTTCTTTGCTCATTTCGCTGGCTGTCCTTCGGTCAACCCGCTGTTTAACAATGGCAATATCTAAAACTCACATCGGAACCGACCATGATAACGACCCTAAACCGGAACTATACAAAATTCAAGAAGATTTGGAACTAGGCAACGCCAAGAAGCTACGCGTCGACGAGGGAGTCAATGATGGGCAGACGGTTGTCAAGACCGAAAACGAGGACGTCACATCCACGAGCGACATCTATTGCCCTGACCGAGCTCAAGATTGCACAGGACCAATTGATAGCGATGGCCGTGTGTGGTGGGATGGGGAAAGCGACCCTGAGAACCCCTATAACTGGCCAAGCTGGCGGAAAATTACAAACTCTGTGCTGATCAGCCTTCTCACTCTAATGACACCTCTGGCGTCTTCCGTCTTTTCGCCCGCAGTCCCGGAGCTGATGAAGGAATTCAAGAGTTCAAACCAAGAGCTCGCAGCATTTGTTGTCTCCGTCTATGTCCTCGGGTTTGCGATTGGTCCCTTGATCCTGGCCCCCTTGTCGGAGATGTATGGGAGATATTGGCTGTATAATATTTCAAATGTCGGCTTCGTCATCTTCACCGTGGCGTGTGCCTTGGCGCCTTCCCTCGACTCTCTTATTGTATTCCGTTTCTTTGCTGGCTGTTTCGGATCCACGCCTATGACCAATGGCGGTGGGAGTATTGCGGACATGTTCCCACCAGAGCAGCGAGCTGGTGTCATGGCGGCTTTCAGTGTCGGTCCACTTCTAGGCCCCATCATTGGACCTGTAGTGGGAGGCGTTCTCTCGGAAAAGAAAGGCTGGAAATGGGTTTTCTGGGTGGTGGCTATCATCAGTGGTGTCATGGCGCTCGCATCGTTCTTTCTGATGAAGGAGACTTACGCACCAGCTATCCTCGATAAAAAGACAAGGAAACTTCGCAAGGAGACAGGGAATGAGAGTTTGCGTAGCAAGCTAGAGAGCGATATCCCGAAGAAGGAACTATTTAAAAGAGCAATTTTGCGCCCCGCGCGACTGCTCATTTTCTCACCGATTTGCACCATCTTTGCAGTTTACATCATGGTTGTGTACGGCTATCTTTACCTTCTCTTCTGTTCTATTCCTTTTGTCTTCCAGAAGAGTTACGGATTCTCCGCTAGCATCACAGGGCTTGTCTACCTCGGACTTGGTGTCGGCTGCTTGATTGGTATGGCCATTTTCTCCATCGATAGTGCGATAGCGATGAAGAGGCACCAGGAAACCGGCGAGCCCCTGAAACCTGAGATCCGGATGAGACTACTTCCTTATTCCGCGGTTATCTTCCCCGTTGGCTTCTTTTTGTACGGCTGGACCACTCAGTATGAGGTTCATTGGATCGTCCCAATCATCGCGTTGGCCATTATTGGTATCGGTAAGTTGGACTCTCTGCTTCGCCACACCACGACTGTTTGTTCAACGATGAATCCGCTAACATGGCTGTTCTAGGGAATTTAGGAATTTTCATGGCGGTCAGCGTTTACCTTGTAGATGCATATGAACAATATGCGGCGTCGGCACTAGCGGCAAACACAGTGATGAGATCTATTGCAGGTGCCCTCCTCCCCCTTTGCGCACTCGATATGTATGACAAGCTGGGGATGGGATGGGGAAATTCCCTGCTCGGATTCTTGGCCTTGGCTCTCGTGCCCATTCCGTTTTTCATCAAACGCTATGGAGAGAAGCTCAGGAACAGTTTCGACATGAGCTGCATTTAATATGCGTGACTAGTTTTAGTGGAATCAGGCAAAGGGAGGCTGTTGATGGTGACATCTCCTCGATGATCTGTTCCTATCAGCCCGTTTTTTCACGCAAGCTTACAATATACAATTTCCTTTTCCTTTTCATTTGTTTGTTGAACTTATACTCTTATAATTTGTGCCCTCTTTATTTTCTAGCTAGATATCGCTGGCGTCATGGTTAGATTGATCTAGACATATCACTGAGGAGCGGAGTAGAACAGACTACTCTTGTTCGAAGCTCTTGCTAAAAATAGGACTTTAAACCTGGGAGAGCCTAGAATGGTGTCATTTTATTCTTGCAGGAGTGAGCACCAAGATATTCATCTAAACTAATGTTTTCCTTTCTTGCTTTGATATTCTTCTTCCCCGTTGAGAGTTCACGTATGAGTAAAAAACAGAAATACAAGATGCCGGACCCGCTCAACACATTGATTATCTTGGATACTCTTCTACCACGGATACGCAAGCGAACAATTTTTTAATATGAAGGTTGGTCGTAGGACGAGTTATTCCGAATGCGAATCCGGCCGTATTCCAGTCAATTTTGACTGTCCAATCAAGTTACCCGTTTCTTCATCTGCCCCGCTCAATGAGATGAGAGGTGGTTCATAAAGGCCTATTCTGCACTCTCGCGAACGCGAATCCGACACCCACAACATCCATATTCCAGTTCCGCGGCCATGAAGCCACCATCCACCCGCCTGGGCCACAAGAAGTCGAGAAACGGATGTTTGCGATGCAAGGCGCGTCATGTCAAGGCAAGTGACTGGCCCTTGAATGCCAACTGCACCACCACCTCCAACTATAGCTGCATGACTAACCTCGTACTGCTACCGCCAGTGCGACGAGCAACGTCCCTGCAAGAACTGCGTTCGGTTTGGAGTTGTTTGCAGTCTGGTGCTTGCAGAACAGAACGGGACCGTCGCGCCAGCTCATCACAACTCTCCGCCGGCAGCATCGTCTCCAGCACCTACGTTCTTGACGCATAATGAGACCTCACCGGCAGCATCTCCTGTCACAGCAACAGGCATTTATGATCCCCACGCAGCGACCTATGTTGCTTTCGCACCGCCTCCTTCTGTTCATACATCAGGGTCGGATCACATAGTCGTATCACCTGGTTGGACACAAGGAGACTCGGCAGAGTTTTTCTCGCCTAATTGGATACAAAGTCTTCAGCTCTTGCACCATTACGATACAGTCGTGTACAAGACTCTGACTCGTGATGAGCGGACTGAGTCCCTATGGAGATATACGGTGCCTGAGATTGCGTTCACCAATGTAATGGTCCCCTTACTACATTCAACATAAACCCATTAGCTGACCACGATGATTATGTAGGAGGCTTTATTGCAGGCGGTACTTGCCTTGTCTGCGCTGAATTACGCTATCCGCAACCCTGACCAGCACAGGGAGTTCATCATTGTATCTTCCCGTTTCCAGAGCCTGGCGCTTCAACATTTCTCCGCCAATCTTCATAACATCAACGAAGACAACTGCAAAGGTTATTTTCTGCTCGCAACTTTTGTGTTTCTCTTGACTATGTGCTCGACCGCGAATGCTAGCGTACTCGGCAAAACCGTCTCCCCGCTAGATGTTGCGCAGTCGTTGGTACTCCTGCAAGGGATAAAAACAATCATGTCCGTCAAATCCATGGATCAGTGGAAAGCAGATGGCCCGCTCTCGATATTGCTGGACGAGGACAATATCTCCGAACCTAAAGTATCGGGCCCCTATCTTGAACGCTTAAAGCAGCTTTCGAACCTCGCTCGGAAGCTGGAAGGGACCCTGGATCCAATCAATGAGCAGACATCTTGCATCCTCGCCATTGAGACGCTCCGCTCCATCCACGTTAGATACGGAAACGACGATAGCCCGTCATCTCCACGGCGGGTGTGGGTTTGGCCAATGACACTCACACAGGTGTTTATTGATCTCATCAGCCAGGGACACCCCGTGGCTCTGATTATTTTGGGCCATTTTACCGCCTTGGTCCGTCCATACGAGTCCCCGGAATGGGTCAATCGCGGATGGAGCGAAGTTGTCTTTCAGGCGGCAGAGAGTTCCTTAAGCGCGGAATGGAAGAAATGGATCGAGTGGCCGAAAAAGTCAATTGAAGAGAGAATCAACGTTAATGATATGCCGGTTCCTGAAAATTTCGGAGAAAGTTAACCATCTTCACACACGAATGAGGGGCTAAGACCTACTGAGATGTTTACATATCTATTGTACATGTATGATCAACACGTGCAGTTTGTTGATACCCCATTAGTTATTCTCATTCTTCCTGATACCTGATACGTGATCAATGAATGTTCTCTCCAGAAATCGAAGCTGGTGTAGAGGGATTGGTATAGCTTACAATAAGTTCAAAGCGAGTGGCATTCACTGGCGTCGTCGTTATCCGATGTATCCAAGCGAGCTGTCTAAGTTGTTGGCGGTAATACGCGCCGCCTTCAACTAGACCCAATCGGTTAACCTGAACGACATGACCAATCACAGAACCATTTCCTTCGTATTGACAGAGGCAAACCTGGCCTCGAACTTTAAGCAGTCATGCTGACAACGCTGAGGATGGGTTACATCAATCCTCCAAGAACTAGTTGACTACCTAGTTCATCGAGCCGGCAGACACGGCAATGTATTACTCCCTAGACAGACGTCATGTGGATTTGATGCAGGGACCTCAGATGGGATGAGCATCTATAAAGACGGCCTCGTCATGTTAAATGAACTAAACGATTCAAACGAGCATCTATCAAGTTGAGATCATTTCTATACCTTTCTTCATACAATTTGATCTTTTGAGTAACTCCCATCAATTATGGACGAGGAAGCTGCAATCAAAGCCCTGGCCATGCCTGACAGGCCAATCTCATTCGTCCCAACTAAGGCTGGCGAGATTATTCGCATTGGCCCTGTCATCTGTCGGATTATGGAGGACGGCTCGAATACTGGTATGTTTCCCCTTAGCAGTGTCATGAGAATGGGAACGACTCCAAAGGCCAAAAACATGACTAACTTGACCACCCTGAGCAGATAACCGCATTGGCGCTGCAGAATTCACTGTTCCTCCGGGGATGGATGGGCCTCCCGCTCACTGGCACGAGATGCATGATGAAACGTTCCTCGTCACGGCGGGGACGATTCGTTTTCATGCGCCCGGGGGCAAGACAGTTGATGCCCAGGCAGGGGATTATGTCGTGGTGCCGACGCGAGCACCTCATACCTTCTCCAACCCTGGTGATGTGGAGGCGCGTTTCTTCAATACTTTCACTCCGGCTTACTATATCAACTACTTCAAGCTGATGGAGAAGATGTTCAAGTCTGGTATGCCGATGAACAAGGATACGGTTCAGCAGGCAATGTCGCACTTTGCCACGCTTCCTGCTGATTTGGAGAAGATGAAGGCGAAGCTAGCCGAGGGAGTTAACTGAGCACCGTCTCGGGTATCTCAGGAATGAAGTGTATTAGAGAGTGAGCAACCAAGTTTTGTAGAGCGATTCGGTTTGGTCATCGCCATGAATAAGACATGGTGGATTGAGCACGCATCTGCATTCGTCCAGGAGCATAATTATATTCCTTGCTAAAGCTCTCATGAGGCTATGTTTCGCGTCAATCTGTAAAATGAGAGTGTAGTGTGGATGAAACACGATATGTAAACTAACTAGTTGGGCAGGGTGGTTAATTGTGTATGTTCTTTGGTTGTCGTGAATAAGATGCCCAGTTCACTGCTCTTCAAGGACTCCCACTTCATGTCATCTACCATTTGGATGATCGAGTTCCCATGAGCGATGCATCCTGCTTTGTCTTTATCTTGGATCCACCCCTAAAGAAAAGTGAAAAGTCAGCTCCATTAATAAAACAACGCGTACTAAAGAAAGCTCGCTGAACATACGTAAATGGTTGGCCAATGTGTAATGTGTGTACCAAACTGCGCGGCCACTCTTTGCTTCTCATGATCACTCAGCGGCCTTTCTGCCAGGTATGCATTCAGAAACGCCGGCATGAGCCCCCGTCCGCCACGTAGATGATCTAGAAGCCATGCCTCTCCAGCGAAATGCGCAACATCCGTAACTCCATTACCAAGGCGCGCGACTTCCCAGTCGATCACTGTAAGTCGGAGATTCTCCGCTTGAGTTTGGTCGGTAAGATCAGAGACGAGAATGTTCCCCGGCCAAAGGTCCCCATGGCACACACACAGCTCATCTGTCTCCAAAAGAGCTCCATACTTGGCATTGAGGCGCTCTCCTGGGGCTGGATCGTAACCATACCTCTCTAGAACGCTAGAAAGATTATTGAAATTCCACCTGTACATTCTCCTCGCCGTAGGGTGTTCAAACTTGCGCTTGATTTCCTCTGGAGTCGTTGAGTTATGGACCCGGGCTAGCCACCGCCCAATTGACGCCCCGACCATCTGGATATCCAAACGAGGATCTTCATAGACAGCATGTAAGGAATCCCGACCCATGTCATCTAAAATCAGGACATGAGAATCTTTGTCATAAGAAGTTAGAGTTGGCAGTCGAATCATGCTGTCTTTTTTCTGGCCTCCAGAAGCCAATACCCGAGGAATGATATCTAGAGCATGTACTTCTAGACCCATTCTGTACAGTGGGAATGGCGTGGTAGGCCTTGTAGCTAGGAAGGGCTCGGCATGCTTGACGATCTTATCCTCCCCCGAGGGCGTAGTCATACGCCAGAGGAAATTAGACGACCCTCCAGAAATTGGTGAGACATGCTGATGAGGGATGTTCTTTGAGTCAAGATACTCGATGAGCTGGTTTGTGGTCGTTATTGCGGTAGCGGATTCCATCTTGATCCTTGTGTGAAATGCTTCTGTCTTCGTTTGTGCGTGTGGAATTGTGTCTGTCATGAGAGAAAGTTTTCAATTAATGACGTGCATTTCGGGGAGAGATGGTTTAATTTTGTGCGCAACAGATAGAATCATACCCAATCAGGCCCTGGTATAGTGACTCACGATGATGTCTTGTCTTGTGTGATCTCACGTGAGGTGACTCTTTACTCTGCTCATCCACGATGATCGCACTGATTTCTATATACTTGTAACCATAAGGTAACAATTCAATCCGTAGTTCAAGTCATTGCCCTTTTAATTTCATTAGAGTCCAAGCACATAAGCAAAGAATATAAATAAGGATGCGCTGCAGGCATCGTAGACTTGGAGTTGGGCAGCGCCGATGAATGAGTCCCATTCTGACAATCCTTGCGAAAGAAAGAAAAAATGAGGAAAAAAAAATAAGAGAGAGAAAATCAGATTCCTATGACAGGTTTAAGAAAACAATCCTGCACTTCCCCTCCGATATGGCATTGGCGAGTTTGACAGACAATTGATCCAAGATGGCCACCGAATTACGTCCGTTCGTAAAGCGAACATTACTCAGCTCGAGGGCTTCTGGTTCCTCGGCTATGTTTTCACACAGCCACTCTAAGCTCCTCTCTTCCAGGGAAGCATACCCCAATTTCAAGACTTTCAAGCCGTGGGAGCAAATTCGGGATACAACAGCGTCGACGTTGTAGTTGAAAGTCAGAACACCGTGCTTCGTCCAACCTCCGCCACGCAATCCGAAACGATCCATATTTAGGCTGCAATGACTTAGGCTGGGACTTGAAGTAGCAGCTCCAAGTAGTTTGTCGACAAAGCCTTGGTCGAGCGTAGACCGGAATCGTCTCGTAAAGGGATTCTTTCGGTGGCGGAATGAGGGGCCAAACTGGAATGTTTCGATCCTTTGAAAGGCAGCGCCCAGTCCTTTCCAGTCGAAGTCCTCACTTTGAGCTTTTCCTATTGAATGGCCAGATAATGGGAAGCAGTCTATTTTCATATGCTGAGGAGCGGCCCCTGCTTCGTGGCAGGCGATTGGGAGGTCCACGAGAAGTTTACTTAGATTGAATGCGCTTGGTCCGTTTGCCAGTTTTTCAATGCTATCCCAGTCATGCGGCGCGTCCATAAACTGGAGGAAGTTGGAACGGCTTGCTAATGGCATCGGGGATCCGGGCGCACGAGGTGGATATGGATAGCTGACGAGGTGTAGGGAGAGCGGATGATGCAGTCTTGAGACGAGCGATGCCACCGTGGACACAAAGATCTTCTCTGAGACGAGCCTTAACTGTGCCTCGTGATGCTCCTTGTACGCCTCATATGACTTTTCGAGAAGCTCCTGATATGATTCTTCTTCGTCCGACAAAACGTGTTTGCTATTTGAACCGACATTCCACGCACGCCGAAGCGTTGAAAAGTCAAAGGCGCCGGATCCCTCTAGGTTGTCCTCTACTCCCTGTGCAGACCTCCCGTTGGTGTCGTAAATACTCTGAAGTTCTTTCAGCCGGAAGTCCTTATATCGTTGCAGGCCATTGGCCGTCTCGCTTGGCCGATAGGCCAGACATATTTGGACCCCTTGAATGCCATAGAGAATCAGAGGATTCGAGCATAGATTCTTAGCACGTTCTAGAGATGCATGGTCGAGGGAAAGGTGTAGAATTGGGCAGAGCAGTGGGCTGGAAGCGACATTCAACGCCCAGCAGGCCAGTCGTGCATTCTTTATAGTGCGATATTCGTCGCTGCCGAAGAATGAATTCAGAGCGGGGAAATCAATCTTGCCATTTCTTTTACCGTATGATGGCTCGAAGACCGCGAAGATTTGTCGAAGGACGTCCAAGGGCAAGTCGGCGATCCTGACAGCTGATGTAGTATCTTGGCTAGAGTCCATCATATTCAAACGCAAGGTTCTTGGATCCCGAAACCGTGGCTGGGATGGGATTTTAAACAAGAGGAGAAAGAGAGGCAGTCTACGTCACTGAGGTGGATGAAATTTATGCGTCCGACCACCCTCCAGCCATCTGCAGGGAGACACATCAAACTGCAACCAAGAACCACATGATTCATCTTCCGTGATGTTCATTGGGAGCTCGGGACACCGGCTAGGCCACCCATCCGGCCGGATAATGCACTGGCGTGACCATAGGAGCCCCTCACGGCAAGCCAATGCTGCGTCATCTGAATCATTATGCGCCGCCATTCACAACTGGAGGTCCTCATGGCTGAGATGTTTGACAGCTGCCAATCAGGGCTCTGCTCAAGTCCATGCTAAAACACAAGCTCTTAATTTCTTCATCTATTCGATGCTACATTCTGTTGTAGTTTTGTTTCAAACCTCCCATCATGAATCAACCAGAAGATAGGCATATCATATGAACAATTAAGACATCATATGAATAAAGAAACAGAGGCATAATTGGGCTACACGGTCACTGGATAGGGTCTTTTTGCCGGGGTCCCCAGTTAGATTTCCGGCATGCAAGGAAAAACAGGATCTACAGCATGCCGAATACGGACCCCAGAAAAAATGCTCATGCCAAGAAGCTGTCCCGGGCGGTGCCAGGACGCCACCCTAGAGGGGGATATAACGAATAGGATCAAGAGTGTACAATACAGTAAGCCCAACACCACGGAGAGGGACATGCATGTATGCCTAGAAGAAAGCCTAGCCGAGCCTAATGCGCAGTACAGGCTGTGCATCTCTTGGCACTACTGAGACGTCAGCAAGGATTTTCTACGTCCAGTACAGGACTTCCGTGTGCGCACTTATCTCTCCCAGTCTCTATCTCGACGTTCCAGGGTCTCTTCCACCTCGTCTTCGCGCCGGTACGAATTATCGTCATGGATACCGCCGGGAGTGTCGCCGGCCTAATCTCTCTTGGCATTCAAGTGACGCAAATACTTGTCGACTTCTATTCAGCGTACAAGGACCAAAACTCAGATATCGCCTGCACATTGAGAAAATTATCGAATCTTAGCGGAGTGCTCGAGAGTCTGCGCGAACAAACTAGTCGCAAGTTCCATGTTGACGAAAAGAAGTTACTGAGTAGCATTGAAGCTTCGGTGAATGGATGCGAGCTGCTCATCAAAGAGCTGCAACATGAGACTGAGAAATTCGAGAGAACCGGCAGTATCCAAGTCGTTGCTCTCACGGTTGGTTACCAAGCAACATATCCACTCCGACGAAGCACGTTGCTCAAGCTAGAGGAAAACATTGACGAGACCGTCGCTCACCTATCGCTAGCACTTCAAGTACTAGGGCAGAAACAAAACAGCTCCGTCCAAGACGATATTGAGGAAACAAAAGAATTACTCGCACTAATTCGTTCCGATCAGTTATCGTCGACAATCCAGGAGTGGCTTAAGGCTCCTGATACAAGTGGCAATTACAACCAAGCTTACGCAAAATACCATCCAGGAACGGGGCGTTGGTTTGTCAAAGGTGCCATGTTCACCTCATGGCTTACGGACCGCAACTCATGCATATGGATCACTGGATTTGCTGGATGCGGAAAATCCGTACTTTGTTCTACCGCCATACGGCACGTCTATCGACACCGAAGGTCCAGTCGAAAAATGGGGATCTCGTTCTTCTTCTTCGCTTTTGATGACGATTCTAAGCAAGACGCCTCCTCCATGCTTCGTACACTTATACTGCAACTGTCCAGTCAATTGAGGGGCGAAAACAAGTCCCTATGCCGTCTACATGATAGCTATAAACCTTCGATTCCTCCTAACCAAGCCCTATTGGACTGCTTGCGCCAAACAATTAGGGCTTTTGACGATGTTTATATCCTATTAGATGCATTGGATGAGAGCCCTCGCGATAAGCATCGGGTGGATGTGCTTCAATCGTTAGTCGATATCTTGGAATGGCAGGAGCCTGGTCTTCATATTCTCATCACGAGTCGTGACGAGATCGACATACGGGAGGGGCTTAATATCCCACAGTCCCAGATATTGCTTTTGAAAAACGAATCTATTGACGACGACATCGCATCGTTCATCTCGAAACGGCTCAGGGAAAGCAAGAAAACTGCTATTCAGAACTGGGAAAAGCATTTTGACCAGATCGAAACCGCACTTAAGAACGGTGCGAACGGCGTGTAAGTGAATGCTTCCTAGACGTTTAAGAAAAGCATACTGACTATCCTTAGATTCCGCTGGGTAGAATGTCAATTCTCAGCACTCGAGTCTTGCCCCAAGTCCAAACGCCATCTTGATCGGCTATTGACATCATTGCCACCATCCCTGGATAAAACGTATGAAAGAATGCTTCTCAACATCGACGAGGAATACATTGAGGACGCAAGGCGTGTCCTGACTCTACTGGCCTGCGCCAAAAGACCACTAACGGCTCCAGAAATAATTGAAGCTCTCGCAGTAGAGCTTGGAGACGCACCAACACTGAATCCAGATGGCAGGCTTCTCGACGGAGATGAAATTCTTCGTCTATGTCCAGGTTTTCTTGAATTGGTCCCCTCCAGCCGCAGTGGAAGGACCACCATGCGGATCGCCCATTTCTCGGTCAAAGAATACCTCGAGTCGGAGCGAATGCATCCAATAGTAAGAAAATTCAAAGTACACAGGCCGGAGGCTCACGCCGAGATAGCCTCGATCTGTCTGACGTACCTGATGGACCCCAAAGTATCGAAAAGTACTAGTTGGACTCAACATCCGCTAAGAACATACGCCACAACTGTTTGGCATCAACATTATCGTGATGCAGACAGCAACCTGTATCAGGTTGAGCAACAAGTCTGGGAATTTTTTCGACTTACAGGAAGTGTCTTTAAGACTTGGGCTAGAGACTATTTAAGAAAAGGCAGGCTGGTTTCCCCTGTGTTTTATGCCTCCTACCTCGGCCTAACATCACTTCTATCGCGTCTGCTTGAAGAGCGGCGAGCTATTTGCTCCGTGTATCGCAAGACGTTACCGGACATTGATATTTATATCAATGCACAGAATGGACAACACGGTACAGCGCTTCAGGCAGCATCAAAACAAGGTCATGAAGCAGCAGTTAGGATATTGCTTCGAGAAGGCGCCAATGTCAACACCGTCAATCAACAAGATCCAGATTACGCAACTGCTTTGGAGGCTGCATCAGCAGGAGGCCACAAAGAAGTTGTACGACTGCTACTTGATCATGGCGCCGAGGTAGACATCACAGACCAGAGTGCGCTATATATGGCGTCCAAAAACGGTCATGAGGCAATAGTTCAGTTGCTACTCGAGAAAGGCATTGACACAGACGCATCGGAAAGATTTATTCATTCCCCTCTGCAGGCAGCATCGTATCGGGGGAACCATGGAACGAACATTAATCTAAAAAGCAAGACCAGGAAAAAAGCATCGATGCTGTGGGACGATGATTGGCAAACCTATCTTGAGACTGCGTCTTCACGAGGACTGGACTCAACGATTCTATTCCTCCTCAAAAGAGGGGCCGACATCAACGCAAATAGAGGAATAGCTTTAGCAAAGGCGTTTGAAAAGGGCCGTGAGGGTGCCGTCCGGCCCCTCCTCGACAAGGGGGCTAGAATCGACATAAAAGACCTATGCTTGCTATCCTTGGCATGCAAAATTGGCCACGAAGCGGTAATTCGTACTTTGCTCGACAAAGGAGTTGATGTCGATGGGAAAGATGCCGATGGTAAGCCTTTGCAGATCGCTGTGAGACAGGGCCATGAAGCAATTGCTGTTTTGCTTCTTGAAAGAGGAGCCAACGTCAACGCACAGAATAAATACGGGGAAACAGCGTTGCACGAAGCTGCGCAAAGAGGCCATCAACGAATAATGCAACTACTGATTGATAAAGGAGCAAACGTCAATGCACAAAGCCGTATCTATGGTCTTGAAACTGCGTTAGAGATAGCGTCGCTGAAGGGGGATTTAGCAATCATTCAGCTCCTCCTCGATAACGGGGCTGATATCAATACTACCAATGGGGAGGCCTTGGCGGTGGCATGTGGTAGGGGCGACATGGCTATGGTCAAGCTATTGATTGATAAAGGAGCGCGTCTCAGTGGGATGGGCGGGCCTACACCGTTGGAGATGGCGTCGGAATACGGACACAACGAAATTGTCCAGCTACTTCTCGATTGTGGGGCTGATATCAATGTTGAAGGCGGTGCCCTGCATGCAGCATCATCAACAGGTCACGAAGCAATAGTCCGGCTTCTCCTTGACGCAGGAGCCGAGGTTAATTCCTTAAACAGCAGCGGTAAAACTGCTTTGCATGCAGCATCGAAAAAGGGCCATGAAGCAATTGTTCGGCTACTCCTTGCCCGAGGTATTGAAATCAACGCAAAGAGTCAAGACGGGGAAACTGCAGTGCATGAAGCGATAGCGGGGCGCCACACAGCCATCGCGGAACTACTTCTCAGCGAGGGAGCCAAGGTCGACCTGAACGATAAATACGATAAGTTTGTTTTGGTCAATGCATCAGAGAATGGATACAAAACAATTGTGGAATCTCTCCTTAGCAACAGGTCTGCTACCAACGCGAAATTAGCTGTTCTGTTGAGTGATGCCCTGCACGCAGCATCGAAGAGCGGCCGCCAAGGGATAGTTCAGCAGCTCATTGAAAATGGGGCTGATCCTAATCTTGAAAGTGGCCTGAATCGTCTGACTACCCTGGCCGCCGCTTCAGCAGCCGGCCATGAAGCAGTAGTACGACTGCTACTCGACAATGGAGCTAATATCAACCAAGGAAAAGAAACCGCGTTAGAAACAGCAGCAAAAAACGGCCACCGGGAAATAGTCCAGCTACTCCTCAGCAAAGGGGCTAAAATTGACACACCAACGGGAAACAACGCTCTTTGCTGCGCTTGTTCAAAGGGCCACGAAGAGGTAGTCAGGCTACTCCTCAATAAAGGCGCTGACCTCAATGCGTGCAGTTCTGACGCTGGCCGCAGTGCTTTGGATGTAGCACTGGCTGCAGGTCACACTACAGTAGTTCGGGTGCTTATTGACCGAGGTGTTGATATCAATATCCAATGTCCCGCTATTCGATCTCCTGAAGATGGGTACTCGGAGAAGGTTCAGGTGCTCCTCGATGCGATTGTAATGAGATATGACTGATAGTGATTGAAGAGTTTAGACAGTAGCGAAGAGCAATCAATCACAAGGTAATTAAAAGTAGTATACGTTCAGAGTGAAAGTAGACTACCTAGGTAAACAAGTAAATAACTCTATAGTATAAATCGACTTTCTAGAGTTATTAATCAGGAGAGTGCCAAGCCCAAGCGCTTCAATCTATCGCCGACCGCAGGAAGATTAGGCAGCTTCATGCATACCGCGTGTGTCGTCTTTAAATGGCAGGTCCGTGAGCCTGACTGCGTATTCTAGATCTCTAGGAGGCTGGACCTTGGGTGAAGCCAATCGCGCCCAGACTTGCAAACACCAAAGAGCCCAGCAGGCGAAAGACACTGGTCGAAGCCAGCCCTTGTTTCCAGAGTATGATACAGTCCGCAAGCCCCAGATAGCCGCCGATGACTATCAGGAAGGTGTCGAGGGTATCATATCGCCGCTGGGCGTAGAAGACGAACATAAGAATGCCCAGACAGGCGGTGCGAGCTCCACCGGCCTGCCAGACGGGCCACGTCTCGGGCACGTCGGTGATGCGTTTTGGCAGACCGTACTGCAGCATAACACTGGGCGTGTTGCCGCTGATGATGGGCCAGATGGTGCCCCAACACTGGGCGGCTGCGGTGAAGAGCGCGGGAAGATGGCGGTATTGGAAATCGCCCAACATGATGAGTGCTTGTAGTAGCGGATGAGGATTGGTGGACAACGAAAGCGATGAGAAAATTCTGGGGAGATATTGGGAATGGCTCCAAATGTGTGGTTTCCTTGCAATATTATGTCCTGTCGCACCCAAGCTAAGCGGCATTAGTATAGGCCTTCAACATGAGCGATTCGACAAATTTATACTCAGCCCATGACATGATGATTGCCAAATTTGGTCTGCGCAAATTCGTTCCTATTTAGGTATCGGCAGTGACATGGATGAGTCGTGTCCCCGCTCCATTATGAGATAAGATCCAGCTGACATACTACCATTCGAAGGAAGTTGGATTCTATTTGCGGTTCCAGCTCAAGGATAGACCAAAATGGCGATCTCAAATATCCCGGATAATGTGTATAAAGGGAGTGGTAGGTGCGTGGCGTGCTAGAACTCCTATCCATAACTTTTAAAATGCACCAGCCGTGCTCGAAGCACGAATATCTTAGAAGTCCACCGCACCGGGCTGAATAAAAGCCATTGTGCTAAGCTGAACGGGAAGGAAATATAAATTGGAGGTTAATGTACAGTTTGGAATGGCCAACCTCCGGAAAGGTAATCCAGTAGCGATGCGATGTTGTGAGTCACACTGTACTTATCGCCGCTTATAACGAAAAACCATACCATCATTAAGTCATGAGTTCAAGCTATCCCACCCCATATTAGTCGCAGTTCGTCTCATAAGTCTATCTGTCAAGATCGAGTAGGAGAAAATCACGTCAAAGTTGTTGTTTGAGCACAACTTCATAATGTATCAAGTGACCATACAGGTAGGTAGAATAACAAGTACGGTTAGATTCTAAACATAGCACAACTGCTACGCCACCATCCAAGAAATAGGCACCAAGAATTCGTCTGGTCATACCCTGTCCTTTATCTAAGATCCGTTGGTGGTCCGAGCCGCCCCGAGGGTGGCTCAGCCATGCTTTGCATCGAGAAACTTTAATCAGCTTGGCCACAGAGTTCAGAGCCCAAGCCAGCGGCTATGACGTCGGTTAACCGTAAGTCCATGTCGATATACGCCCTTGGCAGTCAGTTTATGTCTTCAAAATCCTAAATCATCACCCGCCGTTCCCCTCTCGCCATCCTTTTCCGCTACATTTCATTGAGACCTCTTTTACTAACCACCATTACCATGACTGAATATACATCGACGCGAGAAGGGTTCCAACGCGCCATGGAATGGAGTCTCTCAGGCGATCCAAACGAAGCCAAGGCTTATGCAGAAGCTCTGTCCACGCCCAATTTCTACCAGGTCATGAATGGGAAGCGCCTTGCGTTCGACACCTACGTTGAGGACATCGCCCAGTGGCGTGCCAAAGTCAGTGAATATAAGCCAGTAGTGTGCGTCCCGCTCCAAATAACCCATCAGTTCTCGCTGTGCTCATTAACCGCAGGCATGAATTTCTCCGCGACGGTTATCTTCTATCAGCTCGCATGACAGGAACAATCAAGGTCGATGGCGCGCCAACACATTTCGAATGTTTCATGTTTGCCAAGGTGGACAAGGAGAGTGGGAAGATGGAGTACTTGAATGAGCAATCTGTCTGGGGGCCTGCTGGTGAAGATCCTATCTACGGTGTTTAACGTATGTATTGCCTTGCTCTATGATCGGTGTGAGAGGTTTGTTTTTTGATTGCTTGTCAACGACGAATAACCTAGATCCAGGTCCAATTGAAATACCGATATGTTTCCTTCTTGCAAATAATGATTTCGAATGTCAGGCTGTATCTATGCCACCTATTCACAAGGGCTCAATTTTTCAACCCGAGATTACGTACGTTCATTGCTAAAACTAGATACACTGGGAGTACCACTGGTTTGAAGCGGTGCAAGTTCCCTGACTACAGCAAGTAGCTCCGGTCCAACCCTCACCACCACACTGCCCCCAGATTCCTGCACAGTCTGTGCCAATAGCAGTAGGTTGGGCCTGACCAGCAGAAGTTGTTGTTGTCTGACTGCCGCTGCCGCTATCTCCGCTGCTTCCTTCGTCACTGCCGGAGGAGCCAGCAGAGAGGGACACGCTATATCCAGTGGTTGTGAACTGAGCGTTGCTACCTACAAAGGGCTCGGTGCCAGCGCCGATCGAGTATAGACACTGAGAGCCAGAGTATCCCTGAGACTGCGTGAGGTACTTCATAAAGTCGTTCAAGTCACCGCTGAAGTTGCTCTGTGCAGATTCAGCGACAAAGCTGAACACGGTCATCTGGCTATTCGTGCCCTTCCAGAGCTTCCATGATGCTCTGGCAATAGTGACTGTAGCGATAGATGAGCCGGTAGCGCTGATGGGACCGGCACCTCCTATAGCGCTCAGCCAGATCATGATCTCAAATTCAGGGGTGGTGCCACAGTCAGCGTTGGAAAAAAGATCGTAGGCCACGTTGGCCACGACTCCGGATCCGGTATAGCTATGAAAAGGAAGAGTCAGCCTCATACGTATGAGATAATTCTCGATTCCGTGCAGCAAGCTACTCACGTCCACTGCCATTTAGAGGGGATAGACGATATAGTTGAAACTCGAGCGGCAGACGCGCTGAGCACAGCGTTTGGATATGACTTCACACTTGTCTCCCCACCACTCCAAGACCAAGTTGTAGACCACTTCAGCAGACTATTGCTAACCCCATCAACGGTAAGACACTGAGAGCCGCTTCCGCTGTCCTTGCCCCAGAGGTTGTTATAAATGGTGTAGCCACCGGTCTGAACCGAATCCCACTGGCCGCACAGAGTCGTCGCTCGCTTCTCCAGAGGCTTTGTCTTCGTCGGCTCGATATCGCGGATGTTGGATGGTGCCGCAGCCGCCAGGGCTGTGAGTCCAACGAGTGAGAGTGCTAACTTCATTTTGGTTGATTATTACGGCCTCGCCAGGAGTTGGTTAACCAAGAGATTTGGTGTAAGTGTACTCAAGAAACTCACCTCGCATGGATCCCATCCGATTTTATAACATATGTACTTCTCTTTTTGGTTTCTTCCAATCTTCTCAAACCTCTGCTATCCATGTTAATGCAGGTAGCTGGTCCTAATCGGGCCCCGGGGATTCTCCCTCCAGACGCCAGGACGGGATAAGCCGCTCAAGGTTGGGAGATTCCCGTCAATATCGGATGAATGTCCCCATCTAGGAAATTATAAGCTCCAGCAATGGTGGGCTTTCCATTCTTCTTACTGGCTCGAAGTTCTCCTTTCCAAGATAGGATAACACCACTTTACAAACCGTGGCGCCAGCGCTGGTACATATGATCCTGCCGTGTTAATCGTGCCCATGTACGTTTCCAAGTATCAAGCAGCCGATTGGGTAGTTTTCACAGCTACTGGCCTAGTGTTTCAGGAAGATATCAAAGCTTTCTGGTGAACTTATGAATCCCCAATATCCCCATGGTGTGATAAATGAGCTCACTGCCTACTTAGAACGGTCAGCGCGGTCCGAAGTAATATTTAGGTGCGATTATTGTACGAAAATAAGGACATAGCTCGTCATCAAACTTACTACATTTATATTGAGAATACTCAGAAAATCATTTGACGTCAGAAAGCTTGGCCATTCTAGCTAGACATCCAGCCACCAAGCTCAAGATTTTCCATAGTTGACCTGTTTCGAGCACCTTTTTCAACTGAAATGACTATTCCTAATATTTAATCCTCTTTACATCAGTCATTGTATTTCAATATTTACTCAGTAACTTCTTGCGCGAGCCCCCAATTTGATCTCCGGACCCAGGCATGAAGTCCAAACTCTCGAAGCGCATCATAAACGCAAGGCATACGATAGATACAAGAGAGAAATGACGACGATGGGATACTTTGCCATCCTTCCAAAGTAAGGAGTCCTGTACTATATGCTCTAGCAATTATTAGATTGGTAACGGTTGCAAATGACCATTTAACACGTCGAGACGGTGATCCAAGAAATCCCCTCTACTGCTAATGTCTTCACCCTTCATAGATAGCGTCAGATAATTTGAAGCTCTCTGGGGATTAATAAATACCTACTACCCAAACATGATCTACGACCAGTGTCCCCGCGACCTTGACATCGTGATCGTCGGCGGACCGTCCAAGAACCATCACCCTGCTGCAGCCGATAAGTTCATGGAAGAAGCCTAGAAGCGGACCCCCGTTTAGAAACAGTTTCTACTAGGAGCATATAGTTAGCCAGCTTGGGTGTGCTCGATAGCATCGAGGCGACCATCAACAGGCCCATTCATGCAAGTGCCAAGGAAGCCCATAACAAGGTCAGATGGGTTGATAAGCCCTGGGCGACTTCACCCAAGCCCTTCGAGGGTAAATCAGCCGTGTGGACAGCTGGCGGTGGTGATGCAGTACGTCAATCCCAGTTTATTTCTATTCTCTGCATTCACTAATGTTCGCTACCTCTTAGGAATTGAGATGGTTGTAAGCTTCTGCCATGCAAACTTCAACCGCGACTGGGTAAAGTTTGCCATTCCAGAGGGCATAGGATATGAACCTGGTCCCCAGGATTACCAGGATAATACCCAGCGTTGATGCAACATCGCCATGCATGCAACACATCAGCAGCATAACGCGTATGTCTTACATGGCGTTATGCCAAGCCGTTATGTTAGTAGATAGTCTCTATAAAACAATAGACCCTATTGAACAACAAATGATCAATAGCTCATGTCATTCAATATACGGGACTACATTAGCTTTCAATCTTTGCAAAAATAACAATACCACCCGAAAATAAACCTATTCCACCCTCCACCATCTCCTTTAACCTCACCATGGCACCGGGCGCCCCCCAATCGACTACCCAACTGCCATCTCTCAGCTCGGGTCTTGTTTACGCCCTCTCAGTAAGCCGCTTTGCTGTCGGCGCAGCCTGCGTGTTCGCACCCTCTACCATGTCCGGCGTTATGCAAATGGAATCTTTGCCTGGAGTCACCCTTCTGACCCGTACCTTTGGTGTTCGCGAGGCCGCGGTTGGCGGTTTGACAGTACTTACACTCAATAAACCTGAGTCTACCAAGGACCTGCGCCGTATCATATGGACAGGCATTGCCGTCGACACCTTTGACTTCATCAGCTGCCTGATGGTTTTAGCCTCGTCTGATAGCACAGCTATGGATTTAGCGGCTGCGAAATCGACGGGTGGAATGGGTTTCTGTTGCATACTTGTGGGCTTGTATGCCATCAAGTCATTGGGATCATTCCAGAGCCAGCGGGTAGTGGTAAAAAGGAATAAAGGACTAAGAATGCCTGGGCGTGTTCCTCTCATTCTCTCATCCTCACATGTATTATTTTAACAGTAATCCACGATTTGTTCAACCTCACTCAGAACAGGGTCCGGGACGCAATTTACCCATAAATACGAAATCCGATCCATTTTGAATGGGCTGAAACTGCCATTTCTTATTTTGACCAATCTATTTCAATATCATATGGAAATAAAGGGAAGATTCGTGTCAGCGACACGTATTCAGGTGATCAACAGACTAACGGACTTACGGACTTCCAGGCCAAGACCCACCATAAGATCAACATCAAGGCGCCGGGATTTGGTCCAACGAAGCCGGTTTTATGAATCCCGGTCCCTAAAGGCCGGTACGTTTTCAGGTTCCAAGCATCAGGATCAAATTCTCAAAGTATATAAATGTTGTAGCATCTACAAAAATTACAAACTCAGAAGCAAGCAATATAACTTTTATCATTATAAATTCATTCTTCTTCACAACATAGGCTTGTGCTGTTACGTTACACCACAGCCAACCACTACAAACCTCCACAATGTCTTTGGGATTCTTCACCATCCTCCGGGCTCAGTACAAAAACCTGCCAATCTCCTTGAAGAAGGAAGATTGCGCAGGCAAAACCTATGTGGTCACAGGTTCCAACACAGGCCTAGGCTTCGAATGTGTGAAGCATCTTGCTGCCATGGGCGCTGGGCAGGTCATAATGGGAGTGCGCAATACTTCATCGGGGGAAAAGGCCAAGGCTACTATCGAAAGCCAAACGGGGTGTTCAAAGAGTGTTCTCCAGGTTTGGCATATGGATCTCTCCAAGCTCGAGACCGTCAAGTCGTTCGTCGAAAAAATCAAAGGATTAGACAGAGTCGATGGAGTTGTTGAAAATGCTGCTGTGGCAATGGGCGAATGGGTCGTTCCGAACAAGAAGGATGGTCTGGACATGAGTATCGCAGTGAATTTGATCGGAACAGTCTACATGGCGGTGCTGCTGATCCCCTTTCTCCGAGAGATGGGGAAGCAGCACGGAGTAGATGTGCCTATCACCATCATCGGCAGTATTGTGGCGCTTTCTCCAGAAGCGAAATTATGCTATGACAAGCTTGGTTCTGGCAGCATTTTGGAAGATGTCGCCGATCAGGCGAAGTGGGAGCCATTGTTTCACCATTTGTAAGTACTTACCGACTTCTGGCGCCAAGAATTTTTTTCACTGACTGATATTTTCTAGCTATCCATTCTCCAAATTTCTCTTGTACATGTTTTTGAGAGAGTTGACCAATCGTACTCCCGTCACGAAGTCCGCCGTCATCGTCAATTTCGTGAGTCCCGGAATTTGCTCCACGGAACTCGACCGCAATGCTCATGGTCCTGTTGGTCGACAAGTCAAAATGGCTCGAATGATCATGGGCCGAACCGCCGAAATGGGGAGCCGTACGTTACTTCATGGCCTGGCTGCTGGGAGGGAAAGCCACGGAAAGGTCCTTTCGGAATGCGAAATCAAGGAGTGAGTATCATTCCTAGCCCTTTAGTGGAGCGAGAGAGAGAGCTAATATGAGTCCCAGCTACTTTGTACCCGATTGGATGAAGGATGAAAAGGCTCTAGCAATGGGCAATCGGATTTGGGAAGAAGTCTCTGCTAAGCTCGAGCAGTTGGACCCGGGGTGCATGGAAGCCGTTGTAAATTTTTAGGGACCTTGAGCTTAAGATATCTGGTGGGAAACTTCCATTAAAGCTACCTTTTTTTTTTCAGGTAAAAGGGCGATACCAAATCAGAGAATAGATACAAAAAGCTACCACGAAGCTAGGCATACCGACTGTCTTATGCAGTTGAAGGCAATGCCGACCATCCATCGTAATCGTGTACAGCAATGCCTGCAAAGCTGCTTTGCCCTTGGACCGCGGTAGCGATTTCATTTAGGTCGGACTGTAGCTTACTGACGGGTTGCCCATAATACGAAAGGTTGTCCTCTGGCAGCTGGATTGTTTCTACGGCCAGCCAGACAGGCTTGCCGACATCGTTTCCAGCAGCCAGGACGGGAGCAGCAATATCCAGGAGAGCAGAGACCGTGTTGCGGTAGGTCATAAAGGTTGCATAGTCGAGCAAATTGAGCATCCAGATGTCCACGGTCTGGCCTGCAATAGTGCTGTCGAGTGTGTTGGCCCAGAATGGGAGATCCGCTGCAACGGTGATGCCTAGAGACGAAGCAAGAGATGCGACCTTTTGGGCAACTCCTTCCCAGCCCTCGATATACTTGGCTTTGTTTGCCTCCCAGTCATCCAGTCCCCAAGGCTGCAGAGTAACAAGTCAGTATAGCCTAGACACTTTGCTGCTCTCTGGATCTTACCTCTACATCCATGTGAATACCAGCAAAACCGGAATTCGTTGCGGCAGCCGCCTGGTACTGTTTGATCCAATCGAGTTGAGATTGTAACGACGGCGTGCCAGTGCCGATCACCCATTGGGGGTTCCCAATCAATGCCTCAACCTTGATGCCTTTGCTGACGGACTGGGAGATAAAATTCTGCCAGTCGCTGTTCTGAATATCTGCATTGACCTGCACGAAAACACGTTGAACCCCTCTCGATACCGTGGTATCAAAAAATTGCGCGACCTTTGCTGTGTCGGAGATGATCGTCGACTCCCAGAGCCATGTTGCCAGAGGTGCCTGGGCCGCATCCCGTATCGCCGGCGTCGGGGTGGAAAGGCAGCTTGCTACCAAGCTGAGAAGGAGGGAAATTCGCATCAACATCTTGAATCGTGCGTGAGTATGTGATCTGGTGATGACGGGCGCAAGCAACGAAGATCGATCCTTAGGGGCCAGTCAGCCGACATATGTACGACACGCGTTGAATGGCACCAGCAGATCGATCTGTTTCGAAGTCCATGATGATGGGATGATGGTAATTAATCAGGGGCATCTTGTGGATCTCGGCAGATAAAAATAACTATCATCGCGATCCCTGCCATCGCGATCCCTGCCGCGGCGTAGCCCATCACGAGTTGGCTTTTCCGGAAGGACGATCAATCATGAATTTCAATCTCTCTACTTGCGGTGTTGTCTTCCAATAAGGATAGGATTTCGGTATCAAGTAATACAGAGGGACTACAAGGTCCTCCGACGTTCCATAGCCCAGGCTCGAAATACATAAGCAACCAAGTTATTTACCTCTACCTAGGTAGTTTCAAAGTATAGAGCTAGGCAGGTAAAGCTGGTCAATGCAGGGGATGAAACGCCCTGTGCCTTCAACAACAGTTACTAGTGAGCTCAGCACAAACACTGCAGTATTACTCAGAAGAGAACTGGATTACCGGACGAGATGACGAATTCTCGCTTATTTATTACGCTGTCGCCACTACAGGTCACGGCAGGGAAAATAAGAACCAAACAAGAGCCCCGGCTTCAACATACGAGATACTAATTCGCCACTTCGTACTAAAGCACCTCTTTCTTGAAATGCAGTGTCGCACCTTTAGCTTCAACTGGCTAAGAAACATAGCCTTCTGTCTACACAGCACGCTCAAGTATCTCCCCTCGCTAATCGGTAGTCCTTAAGAGCGAGGGCATCTCAAGACAACCCATCAACCAAATCGGTTTAATACGGCCAAGCTCGATATTGCTCGTCTAATAAATATACACACAATGAACTAAAATTACCTCCTTCAGAAGTTCAAGACAGTTAACTCAATCATTTCATGAACCCATTCTGCTCAAACAACTTGGCATCGCTCATAGCCCCTTGCCTTGGTGCAACATTTGCCGAGATGAAGCTTTTTGATTTCTCGCTTCGAGGAGTAATCCTGAAAGGAAAATCTAACGGGTGAGATATAACACCAGGAAGCACCTTCACCGTGGGGTCGATTTCTTGGCCTTGTTCATCGGTCGCTTTGACGATATCAAAGGCAGCCAGAGTCTGAGCGGCTGCTAGATATACCATTGAATCAGCAAAGTATCTCCCTGGGCATATTCGACGTCCGAAACCGAACACAACCTCCTTAGGATCTGGCTCATTGTAAGGCTTGTCGTATCGCTCTGGGAGGAATCTATCTGGGTCATGATAGGTTTCTGGGTCGTGGGCCATCCCATGAATTGATGCTAGCAGAATGGCACCTTTGGGGATTAAGTAGCCATTGTAAATCTGGTCTTCGTCGCTTGCATGCGGCACTCCCATCCCAGCAACCGGATGCCACCGAAATGCCTCCTTGACAACGGCCTCAACATATGGCAAATTTGGCCGGTCCTCGAACTGTGGCAGCCTATCCCGGCCTACGACTCTATCAATCTCTTCCTGCACTTTGTGCAGAATATCAGGAAACTTGACCATGGCAAGGAATAGAAAGCTCAGAGAAGAGACAGTAGTGTCTGAACCTCCGCCATACATCGCCCCGGCAGAGAACTTCACTGCCGCCTCATATGTGGCAGTTGGGTCTTCACCACACTGCTCAAGCGCCTTGGACACGTAGGAAGGCTGGTGGCTCTTAGTCTGCATCTGCATTTTGACGAATTGATATGGCTTCTCTGCCGATGCCATGACCTCTTCTCTCCATGCACCAGCCACCTTTTTGAATGAAGTGCCAGGGAACCAGTCAGGAAGATAGTGAAGAGCAGGAAACATGTCAACAGCCCAGACTCCGGGCTGGGCCGACGCGTTGAAGATGGACACCATGCGCATGACCAGCCGCTGGACCGGATCAGGGCGAGAGACATCGATCGAATATCCATACGTCAACTTGATGATGAATGAACCGGCAGCTCTATAGATCATGTCAGTTTGGAAATTGAGATGGATCGGAGAACCCAGATTGAAACTGAAGATTGAAGAAAACCAAAGCAGTGGAACTCACCTATGCAAATGGTCAATGAGACGTTCTGGTTGGTCCATGATATTTTCAAGCATCCAAGAAACTTCATTTTCTTGGTCCTTGCGAAAGCTCGCTGCTATTTTCTTGGTGCCCATCTGCTGATGCATAAACTTGCGATGGAGACG